AATTTGTGTGAATTTTCATTATTTTATTATTGTTAGCATCACTGCCACGTATACGCTCACTCTCTCTCTCTCTTTCTCTTTCTCCTTTTTTCTCTCTCCTTCTCTCTCTTTCTCCCTCACTCTCTCCATATGTGTGATCAGTTCTTTAACAATAGAAGTGAGGTTGATGGCTTTGTATAACAAGTTTATATTTTTCTCTTCAACTTTATTGACTTTTATATCATTTTTTTCTCCTTTCTACTTTTCCTACTTTTCTTTTCATTTCCTATCCTTTCTCCTTTATATAATTGTCACCAGCTAGTTTTTATCTTTTTTTTACATGCCCCATTTAAAACCATTACAAGACACTGTCCTGTATTCATATGTATTTGAAAGAATAAATTATACTTGTTTAGAAGTCAAACGTCCTTGCTAACGTTCAACTTTCCTTATCGAGCGGAAATCGAGAAATTTCTTGTTTTCCTCTCCCAAATTACTCCTCGATATACATTTCCTCTCATTCATGTTGCAGTAGCAAAAAAAACCATGGAAAGGGCAATTACTAGTACTGCAACGACTTGATTTGAGGTGCAACAGGTCGTGAAAGAGATAAAACTTTTTTATTGGAATTTTAAAAATAAAACAGTTACGGGAAGAGCCTGTGCGCACCGATGTGAAACTCCGAGGCACCGCGGTCAGAAAATAGACGCGGGAAAAATGGAATGGCGGGAAACGAAACTGGGATCGGTTGCTAGGGTAACAAAATGCGAGGAGAAGATGATTCACGATTGCATGCTTCGTGGTGGAAATCCTCTTCAAATTAAGGTTACTTCTGAACTAGAGGTATGCGATTTCCACTTCAATTAATGTTTATTTACAGCTAAGTCCACTCCTAGTTCCTCACGCAGGTGTCGTTCACCCTATCCCACCCTTCATTTCCCTTTCATATATCTCTAATTATCTCTTTTCCCTGCAACTATTCTCCTTATAATATCTAATGGTTTAGAGAGAGATAGAGAGAGGGGAGGGTGGGAGAGAGAGGGGGGAAAGAGGGAGAGAGAGAGAGAGAGAGAGAGAGAGAGAGAGAGAGAGAGAGAAAAGAGAGTCGGAATGAGAGAAACAAAGACAGAGATTGAGAGAAATGCTTCTAATCAAATATAATATCTCCCAATTTCACTACTCATTTCTATGCGATCAGGACGCCCGTTTCTCATAACTTCTTGCGAGTGTTTCACAAAGACATTTTTTTATAATTCATTATTGAAGCAAAAAATATTTTCAAGATCTAGATGGTGAGAAAAACCAGTGGCATGAATGGCCTGCCATAGTTAAGTCCAACTTAAAGCCTATCTGTACTAGTTTTACCAGGAGGCATTCGACCTCCCTGCATGGTCACTGACAGGTGGTTATCTCATCAAATCAGCTCTCAATTCACATAAGAAAAAGGTCAACGAATAGGCCATGTTTGCTATATAGAGGGCGCAAGTAGCTGTAAGTAGTGTAGTGGGGCTTTAAAGTCAATCTTCGTCTTTGTAAAACACCCCCCTCATCAATAAAAAATGCTGAAATTCTATAAAACATTTGCTCTTAGCCAATCAAAGGCAATGGTTTTAGTACCTTACAACAATTATCGTATCTTGATATATCTTTTGTTACAGGGAGAACAACATAAGACAATGTTTCTTTTCATTTTCTTTTTTCGCCACCAAAACTGTATATGAGCAGGAGGACAACACACAGAGTACTCTTCAAGAACTGCAGAAAATCCTTTTTATGCAAATGTTTCTTTATTCAACTATAATTACAGAAAAAAAGGATGATGGGATGACATACTCTGTACAAATTTCCATTACATTTACGAAGGAGAATAATAATACGTGTGTTTTTAACAATTATTGTGCACAGATTGTATCAAGTATAACAACAAAACAAACTCACGCTACAAGGCACACGCGGACAACACACTAAACCTGACCCAACCTGAATGTCTGTCTGCCTACCTACCTACATCGTCCTGCATGTGATGAGTTTAATACTACATATCCTTCTCTCTCTCTCTCTCTCTCTCTCACTCTCTTAGATCATGATTGCCCTCCTGCCCCCACCCACCCCCGAGCTCCCAGCCCCCTCCTAATATTTGGGCATTTTTGACTCTCCAAAAGCCTACTACATAATATATGATCTGACCATAACTGAATTTTGAGGGAAAGTTCAGATTAAAACTGGTTACAGAAGACAATCGTTGTCAACTAATCGTCTCTAGCCCTCTCCCTGGCAACTCAACAATTTGTCTTATGTTTACTGAGCGAGTTTTAAAGCAGCATTTTCGCTCTGTAGAGGTAATATTTGATGCTCGTTATTCTAAATACAGTACAGCAACATAGAACCCCTTTAATACAACAAAGGCAAAACAAATTTTGGCAATGCATGTACAGTTTAAAGGGAAATTCCACCTTTAACAGAGAACTGTTCTAAAAGAAGCAGACTGGTGAAAGTTTGGATTAAATCGGACCAAAACATTCGAAAGTTATGAATTGTTTAAAGTTGTACCCTAATCACTATACATATGGGTACTACTTATTGGCTGAATCGGTAATGACATTGTGACAAAGTGCCGGACTACTTTCCAATTTGTTTCAACACACAAAATGATTAAGGTGTCATTTTTTTCTCAGAATGTATGATTCAGGAGGGGTCTTTCTTTTTAGAGGATCTATAAAGTCTCATGACAACGTCACAATCCACTGACCAAATTACCAATTTGAGATTCAAATGGATTTAGTGATCTCACATTTCAAACATCCATACCTCCCTTATTATTGGCCTAATTTGTTTCAAACTTTCGTCATTCTGTTTCTCTTATTTTTCTGCTTCCATACCCCTAAAGTTAGAGCAAGGGTTGGATTGCCCTTTAACCCTTACTGTACTGGGCTATTTTGAGCACCTCCTGACTGGGGGGGGGGGGGGGCCTAGGAGGCCCCCCCTATGATCTCAGCCGTCGGATGTCCGATGAACACAAAAATTTGAATGTTTGTAGATATTTACGTAACGAACAAGATGGTGTAATTAGTTTTTTTTGAATATGCAAATTTTTGTCGTTATAGCCTAATTAATTATGCAAAATGCTAATCTTATGCATTTTACAGAAAACGTGTCAGACTCCACATTTTGAATGTTGAAACTCATTATTCGTATGAAACTTCTTTTCTAACACAAAATATTTATTTTGATGTAATTAATAATGATAATTTATGCAAATTTGATGCGGTTTTCAAATATTTATTTTCTTATGTATTTTATTGTTTTTTTATTTCTTATTATATCTATTGTTTTTATTTCTCATGTATTCTTTTGTTCTGGAATACATCAAGTTACTTTGAGAAACATATAAAAGCAATTCGATATCAATTCATATCACCCACTTAGGAAGGAATACATCTAAACCTGTATTCACATTTCTGCTTGTACATGAATATATGCAATTATAGCATATTTTTTGATGACATGCGCATACTAATTGTTATGTAACACCTCACAGGTATATCTGATCGCGACGAAATTGGTATCAAAACGTGCGTAAGACTTGAGGGAAAAAATTTCAAAATTTCAAGCGGTTGCGGCGCAATCTCCGAAAATGTCAAGGAAGGGGCCTACCAGGCCCCCCCCCCCCCAGTACAGTAAGGGTTAAGCTTGCCTCTCACCAAGTTCCATCATATTCATTTTGGTATCCTGACTTGAAAAACAAACAGATGTACTGGAACTCCATAAATAAAACCAATGAAAACTAATACATAACTTGCAACATGATGAAACAAACGTCTGTGTGTGAATGCTGTTTCAGAGAAAATATGGCACATATATTTCTCTTTTTACTCCATAAACAAAAAATACAAAATCTGGGTCTTAGGAACATTTCTTGCAAGCGTACAGAAACAATGGAACTTCAGAACAGAACATTTCACGTACGATTAAACAGTAATACGAATGAGGACAACCCGTCGTTATACTACAATTAATACATCCCGTAAATCTATACTTGTCGAGACATAATGACTCTTCCAACCGACTCTGCAGAGGGCCATTTGGACACTGGATGCGGGACTTGCCCATTTCTGAAAAAACAATGAAGAGTGTCTGTTTTCTCAGTCTGGTGTGCTGCAGTTTAAATTATCAAAAAAATATTGCCTTTGGTACAGTGTCTAAGGGTGGGAATTTACGAGCTCAGTCACAGCACAAATGGCTGTTAGGAGCCTAAAAGACGTTATCTCAAATCATTTTACAAAGAGTAAATACCCTTCTGGCTCCAAACGGACAACATTTGCTTGCCCCTAAAATGTCTCTAAAGAAAATGTTTCTAATGGACACATGACAATATTTGTTTACTTTCCCTAAAGGTAACAGTGACAAATTGATCATTCTACCCAATATCGATTGCTCTCGGTAATTTTGGCCACTGACCTGCTACGTGTCCAATCGGTGTTTTGGCGGCCTATTTTGACATCGGAAAGGGAGATTGCCCCCTGCTTCCTCGCAGAATCTACTGGCCTGAGCACTCCCCGACATAGCACCTCTACTGAGGCTCATGCCTCAGCACATAGCTCAACCTAAAACCTGGACTAGCTGGGAGCCTGGTGTGGAAGTATGTACACGATTTCGTCACAAGCCCCTCAACCAACACTGCATATCCTTCATTAAGAGCCAGAAGGAGATTAACTCACATCGCTTTACGAAGAACCAACATCCTCCTGGTTCTTAAGAGACGATGCGGTAGCTAGCTTTGGTAGCTAGCTTTGGTAGAGAGAGAGAGAGAGAGGCCATCGGTCATCCCTAGCCACACTTCAACGTTCATCTGGCCCTGAAACATTACCTCTAACAAACGTCAAAACCTATGAAAAAACCTCACGTTAGTGTCCTTTCAGCGTCAGCCCTCACCGTATGTAAACACCATGAAGGGCTTCTCCCCGAACGAACACCATGAGTTTTGCATCATCATCCTTAAAAAAGAGGCCATTGGTCATCCCTAGCCACACTCAAACGTCCATCTGGCCCTGAAACATTACCTCTAACAATCGTCAAAACCTATGAAAACCTCACGTTAGTGTCCGTTCAGCGCCAGCCCTCACAGATCGTAAACACCATGAAGGGCTGCTTCTTCCCGAATAAACAACATGAGTTTTGAATCATCATCCTCATCTTCTTCGTTACCATCTACAAACGTGTTGTCCATGAGTCCATCATCTGTCCTTACCTTCTCCCGCTCTCATTTTTTTTCTTTTGCGTGTTACACTAAACACACAAGTCACATCTCTCACTCTCTCTCTCTCTCTCTCTTTCTCTCTCTCTCTATCTCTCTCTCTTTCACTCTCTCTGTGTCTCTCTCTCACTTTCTCTCTGTACAAGTGTAGAAAAGGGAATTCCTGACTATTCCACACGGCGTCTTCTCATTTTCTTAAGTCCAGTACAAACACCTGCAGAGAAGAAAGGTAAAAGAGACAGACAGTTGTAATATCTTGGTGCAAAATGGTAGCAAATGTTTGAATGAAGAAATGAGAAGTTGTCAAAGTGGGTAAGGTTGGCTGAAGGCAACTAGTCCGCTGAGAGCCCGGAGGGTGTTAGAGATGAAGTAGAGTTCTTGTCACGCGATTGCATTGTGAAAGAAACGGTATGGAATCGATCAAAATAAGTTGATCGTGTAGCATGTAAGTATTGATGTGTACTGCAAGGTTCTGGAGTCATCAAAATGATAAGAAATTGAGCCCAGTCTTGGTAAAGTAACAAACACTGTACACAGAAAGATGTATATGGGACTACACAAACATGTGGCATAAAAGTCCAGCCTCATTTTTAAGCTGATACTTGTCATATTTAGAATATGGAGGCATTTGAAGAGCCATGCTTTTCAGGGAATGTTTTTTTCTCTGATGTTCTTCCACACTTGCATAATAACAATGATAACGCTCACAAATTATTTTTCATCTCTCCCTAGAACTCAACCTTCTCTTTAACTCTGTATTGGAGGATGGCTCTTAGGTACGTAGTTGAGACGATCTTAGATTTGGGATCTGTTTTTGTCTCTCCACTACAAAAACTAAAGCTACATTAATGGATCCAGGCTAATTGTGAGTACTCCAATCTATTGCAAACTTACAAACTACTGTCTATCATCCTAACTCTCACATCCAACTCCAAAGGTTTCATTGTTAAAATGCCTTTTTAAATTATGAACGAGTGGTATAGTGGTTCATTCACATGACTTTCAATCAAAGGGGTGAAGGTTCAATATCCAGCCGGGCACTAAATATCCTTAGGCAAGAAATCAATCCACTCTTGCCACTCAGGTGTAAATAGATATCTGATATGCCACAGCGCTACAATATTTGGCTGCCAGTTATGACCAGGTGGTAGGCCAGAAGCATCTATGATGGACATGCATGCTGTTGAAGAAGCCACCATTGTGTTGATTATCATTATTATTACAGGTAAGCGATTTGGGACGGACCCCTGGTCAACTCAAACAGGACATGACAAGCACTCACCGATCCATCTGACGCACTAGCTCCTACTTTATCTCCCGTATGATTCCAACAGACTTCAAAGATTCCTCCTGTCCCTCTATAGCTATGAACAAGACTGCCGGTCTGAAAGAAAAATAGTAGAGGTGTCGTGGTTGAGTGGATATGTTACTGGACTGTGGGTCACAAGGTCCGCAGTTCGAGTCCTGCCACGGCACTAATGTCCTTTGGCAAGATATTGATCTACATTTGCCACACTCGATTCAGGTGAGGTGAATGGGTACCTGGTAGGATTATTCCTTGAAATGCGCTGTGCGCCGATTACGGCTGCCGGAGCTAAAGCTAGGGTAATAATTTCCCAAGCTCTTTGGAAGCGCATAGAGACGTTATATAATGTGATATGTGCTATACAAGAACCAAATATTATTATTATTATATGCAGGCTACACTTATACTAACAGATCACAAAGCTGTGTTTGAATACATCTATATCATTGATTTAATTCCAGTTGACATTAATACAATCATATCATTTACTTAATTCCAATAAACTTCATAGCTTCCTCCTGTTCCTCTACAGCTATGAACAATAGCATATGCATATGCACGGTACTGATATACCAACCTATCATCCACTTGCAAACACATAATCATTAACTGTCAAGTTCCATTTCTTTAACTCAGAACCAAAAGGGCAGTAACTTGAATCATTTAACACAACCTTGCTAATTGTCTGATGTCATAATGCTTCTCTGCCAATCTGGCTTTTTCTCCGTCTGGAAGGGGCCCACAAAAAATATTAGGCTTTAGTTTAAAACCTACAGATTATTACGAGAGGGTTCTACATTATTTATTATAAAATGGCTCTAGTATTTTAAGCATCGTGATTGGTCAATATGCGTCACATGACATTGACAAATTTTTGATGCAAGCACGATTTTGCAGAAATGAGTGCAGAAAAAGCGCAACAAAAAGTTATATTGCACGGCGCGTACGTGACCATGGAGATCCAGTGCGCGCGCGTACGCGTAGTACTAGTACGCTCCCTCGAGTGCATTGTAGGCTATAGGCTACGCGTAGCTAATATTGTACGCTCCATATCCACCATGATCCCCAGCGCAGCGTACGCGTAGCTTAGCTCTAGCTAGAACAGGGTATTATTAGAAAGCAAATTTTTGTTTTACTTTTGCCTTGGATTTAGACCCGTTTTGACTTTTGGATTTCATAATGAAGCCAGGAATTTCAGCTGTCTGAAGTAGACTCGTCTCTAGACACCCTATGCATTTTATTTTTAATCAAACAATGAATCCCGTGGACTTTTTGGTAAGCCTGCAAGGTCTTAGACCCTCATTTTATTTCTAGAACCAACATAACTCTAGATCTAGATCGAACTCTCGTATACTTAAGATCTAAACTTTTGTTTGTTGCTGTTTGTGTCGCTATTTTATAAAACAAATAACGCACTTGACCCTGTTGTGCGAAACGTAAATGCAGTGTTCGCTCGGTTTCTTCAGATGGTTCGCACTGTCAACTCGCCGCAAGCGGCTCGTTGCACAGAGCGGCACCAATCTAAAGAAACCTCGCGCATTCTGCATTCACCGCTATTGCACTCTGGGACGTGCGTTATTTGTATAATATTCACCCTCTTGCACCTCACAATAAACGGATACCCAAACAGCGAAAGTATTATCGAAAAACAGCCAAGATTTGCCCATGACTGAGGGTGGTTTATTGAATCTCCAATTCACCAACCGATCTAAAAGCGCAAGCGCATACATTTACATAATCATGATTATGCATAAGTACTATTAACAATAGTTAAGATTCATAACCAGATGCGAAAAAGAGAGATGGGCTCAAAACTATGGACTCACCTGTGTTGACCATATATGTACACATTTGTCAAACGAGCCGCTGGCTAGGTATTTGCCCGAGGGGCTGAAAGCTACGCTGTAGACAGGCTCTTGGTGTTTGGTCAGTGTATGGATACAGATCCCCCTTTCTACATCCCATAGCCTCACTGTCGAGTCAAACGATGCACTGTAGAGGGACAAACGGGAAAGGTAGAATCAAGAAAATGAGATTAAAGTGACTCGGTAACAATGCCTCAGATTCTGAAACAAATCCTGGATTTAGCTCATGCTGCAATGATAATTATAAACTGTTAGGTCAGTCAGGAACCCCATGAGTTTTACAAGCCGATCCCCTGTCTGATTATCAAGATGTCTATGATTGGAATTTGAAATTTCAAAAAACGTTTTCCCCAACGGTTTTTATAACACTACAGTCAATTATATCAAGTGTCTCTCCAAGTTCCTCGATCTTCAGCCATCCGCTTCAACGTTTCATAACCTGTTGCTCCACATTCTGTGATTAAATCATCTAGAAAGCCTTTACGAGGTCTTCCCCTCTTCTTCTTTCCATGAATACGACCTTCTATAACTCTGAGCATCAAGCCCTCATCATGCCGCATTATGTGTCCAAGCCATTTCTTCTGTCTCTCTCTAATCGTTTGAATCAGCACCCGCTTTTTTGAGCTCGCTGCAACACCTCTTCATTCAAAACTCTGTCCCTCCAGGACACACCTAGTAATATGCGCCAGCACCACATTTTGACCGTGATTGATATCAATCGTAAATCAGTTGGGATTAACATCAACTCTTTATATGATGTGGCCCTGGTCTGGCGAACCCAGTCGCATGCTGCACTCCCCCAGCACTTCCATTTAACGAGAGAGGGCTAGATATGATGATTTGAGACTCTAGAATACAAAGTCTTTACAGTTTGTGGTGCAACATCGTTATCCTTGAGCCTAGAAACATGGGGGAGGTAAATCCCCCCCCCCACCTCACTTTAAGAGCAAAATTATAGTTCATAGTTTAGTTCATAGTTTAGATGCTGCTTTAAAGAGCAGATCGAGCTCAAGTAAGGTGAAAAATAATTTGTGTGCTTTTTCAGTCTTTCCTGTCATATCTCTTCCTAGAACAGTTAACCCCCCCCCCCCCCTTTTTCATACATTCCTTTTCAATTTGTATTTATCACAAGTTTAATTCAATATCATGTATTATGCATAAGCTATGATATAGTTGTACTATGTAAAGTGTACTAAGTGTTATTTGTTGTCATTTTTACCTCTCTCTTTATCATTATTGTTAGTTTGGAAAAATATCGCAGAAGAAATGCCTCTTGAAAATAAAAATTTTGAAATTCTGTGTGTCTTATTTTTCTGCTTTCATACAAAATAACTTATTACAAGGGTTGGATTGCTCTTTACATTCAAACCTCTTCTGTGAATTTAGGCCAAGTTGGAAGCTGATGAGATGAATCGTTTCTTACCTAGCTAACATGAGAGGTGTATTGGGATTCTTTGGGCTCCATTTGATGGTGTAGATCTCTTTGCTATGCGCCTGTAGATCATGTACACACGTATCCTGCTTCATCGACCATATCTATAGGAATATAAAAAAAAGGTGACAAACACAAATTGATAAAACATGATCAAATTGACCGTATTAATCTCTTTCCTGTGCGCCTGTGACCCATGTACACACTAATCTATCGACCATATCTACAAGAGTATCATTTTTTTAAAGTGATAATCACAAATTGTTGGAACAAGATGAATTTGACTGTATTATTCTCTTTCATGTGTGTCTGTGAGCCACGTACACACGTATCTTGCTCCATGGACCATATCTACAGGAATATATATTTTATTAATGATAAACACATATTGATAGGACATGATCAATTTGATGCTATAGATCTCTTCAAAGCTTTTGTCTCTTTGTAGCTTAACAATTAAAACTAGTCATACTGAAATATAAAGAGTATCATTTCACTTCATATTAAGTTTGATCCAAGCTTAAAAGTAGGCTTTGAATCTGATGCATTTTACTAAATAAACCAGTTTACTGACATATTCAAATATTGTGCATACTTTTTAAAGCTACATACCTTGAGTGTCATATCATCTGAACAGGAAGCGAGCATCTGACCAGACGGGTCCCATTTGATAGCATTCACTTCATTCTGAACAAGAAAAAAAACCAAGATAAGTAATAATAATAATAATAAATGATTGTCACATTAGCACTCAATACTATGTTTCTAGACACTTTCTCCATCTATCTAAGTATCTTCTCCCGGTTCAGAGGTTGACTGCAACATCTCTCCATTTCACTTTATCTTCTGCCATTCTGGTGCACTCTTGCAGTTTTTGTCCTCTTCAGTTCTTGACATTCTCTTCCCAGTTGATTCTGGGTCTCCCTCTAGGTCTAGTTCCTTCCACTCTTCCCTCCAACACATCCTTTAAGAGGCTTTGGTGCCTTTACTTTGTAATTATTATTGGATTGAACTGTTATTGCACATATTAGATAATGCACACTCTCCCCTTCCTGGGGGCTATGGGGAATATTCCAGCCAGGTGCCATTTTACAAGCACACACACGTGCCAATCCAACCCCATTAATGCTTGCCTCTTGCTTGGTACAAAAAATAAATGCACAATACATGTTTACAATATAATTCTTTGATACCCAATCTTCGATGAAACTTACTGAATGTCCTTGGAATGTTTTGATGGGTTTATCACTGCCGAGTTTACACACATGTATACTCTGGTCTGTGGAACATGATGCAAAGCTTGTGTTGGTTTGCCAGTCAACGTCTAATGCCGGTGCTGTAAATATTTAAAAAAAAACATCAACATAAAATACAAGATTAAATCAAAGAATCTTGTCTTAAACAAACATACAAATTTAAAAAGTTGTCTCAAAATTTTTGGTGTTGTTACATGTTTTCAAGGTACAGTATAGAGCTGTCACAGTTAAGGTAAAAAAAAAAATTGGGATAGAAATAAAACATGTTTAGGCTTATGCCATTCGGTACAATGGTCTGAAAATCAAGACTATTACTTATTGGCTCTATAGCTCCTAAGTCCGTTTGACAACTAATAGTCGTTATTTTCCCACTTGAAGACATTTTCAAGCCCCACCTTTTTTAGGGAAGTTTTAAATAAGTATTATCTTTCAAAAGCCGTTGGAATTTAACCTTTTCATTTTTTTGGCCTGCAAATGGGACATAGTACCTTTAATAACAGAAATCAAATAAATCTCTTTTTTTTTCAGGGATGAGATTTTAGCCCTTCCAAGTTTTCTCCTTAGAATCAAGCCTGCTTCATAGCTGAAAAATAATCCATTAAGCATTATAACCTAAGCATTATAACCTAAACATATCAATACTACATGTTAATATCTACATTCTCCAGGTCAAAGGTCATTAAGTATTGTTCTTGTGACAGTTGCTTGATATTATCATAAAGGCCTGTTTTATTATAACACAATCAGAAATTAACATTTAGGCTTCTGATGTCTTGTTCTCACGATATGGGAAACCACTTCATTAATTTATTTATTTATATTTGCAAGTGAATAGCAAGAATAGAAGAGCAAAAGTAGCTGCATGCAAAAAAGGCTCTACATTATCTGTGCGATATAAGATCTAGAAATGTCAAATGTTATGTATGAATATTTTCAATAAAACAATTCTATGCAGTTGATTTGCAAATATAAATTTCTCCATGGAATTGTAAAACTGGTTCAGCTGATTCACAGTGAAACCATGACATAATGCATTTAGATACAGAGCTGCCAACCTTCAACAACCAAAAGAAGGAACCATGATGGCAAAAAAAAGGAATTTTAAGCAACTAATAAAAAGAATTCTTAAAAACGAAACTTACAACCACGGGCGACAAACTTCCAATGCAGAAATGTCCATTCTTTGTGCTTTTTTTTTTTCCTTTCCATATTAGGACCTATAGTTTATTTACAAGTAGGTATTTTGTTGTTGTCATTTTCGTATTATCGGCATTTCATTCTTTTTGAGAATATTTTTCTCTTCAAGTATGTTTTAACCATAGTTTTCTATTGAATATGTGATCAAATGAACATTTTAGGGCAGTTGTTTGACGTGCGGTATGTAAAAATATGTTTTTTTTTCAATAAAACAAAACAAAACACAAAAAAAATTATTAAAAATTATTTAAAAAACATATTTTATGAAGAAAAAACAGAGTAATTCCGGGAAAAACGGAATGGTTGGCAGCTCTGTGGATATGTTGTAAGAAAAGGGTAAAAGACATATGACCAGTTACAAATGCTTACCAACATGGAAAGGAAACTGCTGCTTGCATTCTCCAGTTTGGGCATCCCAGATGATGGTGGTCTTGTCCACCCCTGCGCTCAGAATGTAGTTGCCCTCTTTGTTCCATTTCAGCGCAAAAATGGGACCCTTGTGTTGACCTAGCGTGCTGACCAAACGACCTTCCGTAGACCAGATTCTTGCATAGCCGTCGTAGGAGCCCGTCGCTAATAAACTACCGTCACACTGCAGGGGGCAAAGAAATTGAAATTTCATAAGTCATTCAAATAATAATAATAACATTCCGTTTTTATATAGTGCCCAATATATCGATACAATGATGTGTCTAAGTGCTTTACAGATATACTATTACACCGGTCATCGGATTCAGGCTTAACCAATATGAAATATAAATATATATTGATTGATGGCGAGTCTTACAGCTATAAATCTTATGCAAAATAAATAAATGCCTACATCTGACAATATTCCCAAATAATATACTTTAAACAAATTAGGGACTATATTTTACACACATTCATGGTAAGTCTATATGCCTTCCGGTTTAAAACAAATTCATTTTGTTTTCCAAGTATAAAGATCATTTTGCGGATCAAGGATTCAATGACAAATTTTACAAGTTTTTAAATTAAAGGCACAACTTCTTCCAATAATAAACTTTTTGATAATAACCATTCGATTTCCGTGGATTATGAACTTATTACTGAGTATCTCGATCATCATAATACAAAAATTATTTTGGGAGAAATAAATGAAAATAATCTATTGTAATGCCACAATACGATCAGGGTGGTCTCAAAGTGTGCAGTATGACCCATTGACAGCTCATGATATAGTGTATGAATGCCATGTGCAACACCTGACAGGGTTTACTTTAGTGATTTCGACATGCGACATTACTCGCTGAAAATATTTTAGCATGTTTTGAAATTCATGATCAATAAGTGATTTGCAAAATTCGCGAAAATAGAACCCACACGAAAATCGCGAAATTAAGTTCAGTTTACAGTGCCATATAAAGGCAGGGCTTGACATTAACAGGCACTCGGGATGCATGAGCTCCCAAAATCTAAGTCTGGACCCCCCAAACAAATAGTTTTTACCTAGGATTCGTACATGTACGGACTATAAAACGTTAAATACAGACACCCTTCCAAAAAGAGTTATAGTGGACCTACCGTGGACCCTTGGTATATGAATGCATACCTGCCAACCTTTCAAGCAAAAATCAGGAATCTATGGATAAGGCTCCAAAATAGGAATCCTTCCTCCAAAATAGGAATTGTTGGCAGCTATGTGTCTTGGATATGTCACCGGACTGTAGATCACAGGGTCCGCGGTTCAAGTCCCACCGCGGCACTAATGTCCTTTGGCAAGACATTAATCTACATTTGCCACACTTGACCCAAGTAAGGTAAATGGGTACCTGGCAGGAATTATTTCCTTGAAATGCTAGAGCACCAAATTTCCAATTTCCAAATTTGGAAGCGCATAGAGAAGTTTAAATGTGATATGCGCTATACAAGAACTGAATATTATTATTATTATTAAACTTACATTCCAGTCCAACGAGGTGACATCTTTGTTACTTGGGACATCTTGCCCGCCTTCTCGGATGCAGTGCCGTAGAACCAGCTGGTGTTGTGATGAATTCTGACCTTCACTCAGGTTCCATATCCTAGCAGTCGAGTCCCCAGACCTACACGGATGGAAGAAGAAAGGAAGAAGGAGAAGGAGGAGAAGTAGAAGAAGAAGGAGAAGGAGGAGTAGAATATGTTAAGAAGAAGAAGAAGAAGAAGAAAAAGGAGAAGAAGAAGGAGATGGATTAGGAGAAGAAAAAAAGAAGAAGAAGAAGAAGAAGTAGAAGAAGAACAAGAAGAAGGAGAACAAGAAGAAAGAAGGAGAAGGAGAAGGAGAAGGAGTAAAAGATGTTAAGAAGAAGAAGAAGAAGAAGAAGAAGAAGAAAAACAACAAGAAGAAGAAGAAGAAGAAGAAGAAGAAGAAGAAGAAGAAGAAGAAGAAATGGAACAGGGAGGAGAAGGTGTTACAAAGAAGAGAAGAAAACAAAAAGAAAAGAAGAAGTAAAGAAAAAAAAGGAAAAAAAGTAGGAGGGGAAGGAGAAGAAGAAATGATGAGAAAAAAAGGAGAAGAAAAGAGAAGAAGAAATAAAATGAGATGAGTAATAAAAATATAAACAATAACAATAATGTAAACATAAGTTTGAAAAGGATTACATCTCACTCCTGTATACCGATGATGATGATTTCAACAATATAGAACCATGCTCTGATTATGTACACTGCATGATGATGATGATTAACATATGACATAATACCTTGGACTTGCCCATTCAGAAAAAGAAAATTGGTGTTGCCAATTTGGTCAGTACGCTCTTACCCTGATGCAAGAAGATCTCTGCATGGATTCCATGCACAACTGAAGACTTCTGATTCATGACCTCTAAGAACGGTTGCTTTACTAGGAGGGATCTCTATGCCACCATCGATTTCCATCGCTTCTGAGTGGTTTGCTGAAAGAAAAAGAAAAAACAACAGCCATTTTAATAGTCGTTTAAAGCATCAGTTAAAATTTTTGCCTTAGCCCTAATTAAAACGTGAAAACTTTTTAGAGCTCAACTTTAATGTCAATGCTATCTTGTTACGTCTTTCATCAGCAACCTTACAAACATGCTATCCCAAACAAGAGTATACCTTATCACTGGGTAGCATACATTCACAATGCACCCTCTACCCCCCCCCCCCCCCTTTACATCCCCTTCCCCCAAAAAGTACATTCATACATGAATGATATCTACAACACAAACACACAGCCATCTTCAAATAGTTATATTAGGCCCAAATTTTAATTGATGATCACTTGAATATGTTAAAAACATTTCCAAGGGTTGTTAGCTCTGTTTTTTTAAGGATCTTTTCATGCAACTTTCGAAGTGCGACAATATGAAGGGATATTGCAAGGCCTGTATGAATCCAGTTCAGGTACTGCTGTTTTGTAAAAACACTGATAAACTGTCATATATTTGACAAAGAGTGAAAGTGAGACAGGGCGAGCATCGTCTGCCGAGAACCAGAGGGTTGTTAACATCCAAGTAACAAACCGTTAAGGCCGCTCTGGCTCTCAACAGACGCTATACAATGTCTTATAATAATATTCCCAATTATAGCGCTTAATACATCGATGATGTCTCTATTACTGCATTACAGATATATTATTACCCTGGTCGTCAGATTCAGGCTTTCCCGCACACACAATCTATGCACATTCTCCACTCCCTAAAGAGCATTCCAGCCAGGCGCCACTTTAAAGACGCTCACAATGCATTACACTAAATAAACTACGACAATACTCACACTGAATTAACGTAACTGGGGGGTCATCGCCATTTGTTCCTTCTACTTTACAATTGTTCTGTCCGTTTGCTGCTACCTGCCTCAGTTCCAACTTTCTTGTGGAGATCACATCTGGCATGACTGCGTCGATGAGGGACAGCGAATCTAATGCCCTGCTGTCTACGACTGATCCATCCTGTGATATTCAATGCAATTTAGACAAAAATGTTAGGATAATTTCTCAAAACTAACAGTAAGTCTTTACAGTTATCATCATCCAGCACCAAAATGAACAATGATCATAATGATGAAGATCAAAATAAGAACAGTCATAATAAGAAATATAATAATAATAACAATTATAATACTACCGTAATATTATTTCTCTACTACTACTATTACTACTACTACTACTACTACTACTACTACTACTACTACTTCTAATAATAATAATCATCAGCATCATCATCATTAAGATCATATAAATGTCATGACTTTATTGTCACGTTTAAAAGTACTCATAAACATCTCACATAAAGACTTAAGCCCATCGCACACTTTATGACCCGTCTGCAATCTAATTTTTTCTCGAAGAAATGGCAATTGTACTAGATATATGGAAATCTAAACAAAGACCAACTTTCTGAATACTAAGAAGAATACTATTAGTCCGAACAAAAGCTTATCATCTACGATTCGTAGATATCGAACTATCGGTCTAACGTTACTACAAGTCTGAACCGATTTAGCTTTTCCCCTCCTCCAAAGAAACCTTGAAATCCTTTGAAATTTGTATTCTATCATTAATTTCTGTTTCTTCTCCCTTGGAGCACTACTCAAAGTATATTATAGGTTGCATATTGTAATAGGTCCTCTAAAAAGAAAAGACCCTGACTCTGTGAAAAATTTAAATTTTGGTTATTTTATATGTTGGAACAGATGGAAAAGTAATCCGGCACTACATCACATTGACATTACCGCTTCAGCCAATTTTAAGTGCCCATACTAAAATGATTACAACTTTCAAAAATTGATAACTTTTTTATATTTTTTCAGATCTAATTAAACTTTCATCAGTTTGCTTCTCTGATTTTGCTGCTTTTCTTTGTCGTAGTTGTCTATTTGGGTTAGGTCCTCTAAAAAGAAAAGACCCTAAATTTGTGAAAAATTAAAATTTTTGTCATTTTATATGTTGGAACAGATGAAAAAGTAATCCGGCACTACATCATCACATTGACATTACCGCTTCAGTCAATTTTAAGTGCCCGTAATAAAGTGATTACAACTTTCAAAAATTGATAACTTTTTTATATTTTGTCGGATTTCATTAATTCTTTCATCAGTTTGCTTCTCTGATTTTGCCGCTTTCTTTTAGAGTAGTTGTCTATTTGGGTTGGATTTCCCTTTTACTGTCACAACTGGGGAGGGAGGACGGGGTAGAACAAATACATGCGCAATACTCATTATTATGTTATTATATCTGTGTAGTTATTTTATTCATTTGGACGCCTGAATCAACAAGCTAACATAAGCTTCCTACAGGTGCTCCCTTTTCCTTCTACTCATTTTCACAGTTTGTTTAAATTAATTTAACACAATGCTCATGATTTGTATATTTTAAACTGTCTGTACTTTATCACATGTATATATTTGTATGTTTTTTAACGGAAATAAAGTCTTTTGAATTGAATTGAAACTTCTTACCTCATTTATACTGACTTCTGCCTCTACATATTGCAGGCCTTTCTGTATGATGGAGATGAGCGCTGCCGGCGGGACTAGAGCCCCGTTGATGTTGGACTGGCTGATGTGACTCTCTATTCCAAATGTGAATGCAGAGTGTGAAAAACCTGAAAAGAAAGTTTGGATTTGAATTGAATTGATGATTTATCACTTAAATTCATGTTATACAACGGCAACAACACATGTATGTAGTAGTATGTTCATAAACATATTTGGGTACTGTAAAATATTACTAAATATCATAATGCTAATTGAGGTTAGTCTTATCAACATGCATTGTATATGAATAAGTAATTACTTGACATTAAACATATTAATATATACAGTTTGCAAATATTAACAGATAAAGATTGGGTTCATCTATTAGACTGAAAAGCTGTCAAGCCACTGGCAGGTTCTAAACACACGCGCACATGCCACAAAGCAAATTTCCGATAACTTGCTTCTCAAGTGTTGACTGCTCTATGTACATGTTTCACCATTTTGTAAATGAGACAGGGCTTTCCCTCCTTGTCAATTAAAGGGATCGTTTAACAATGTTAAATCTGAGATACACGGTCCTAAATGTTACCAGTGTCTGTGATATGGTGTAATATTGAAGCCCTAAAAAAAATCGCGCTTCAAAATGGTCAAGAAGTGCCTCAAAAGAGTAAAAATCTTTGAGTGACCGGTTTTGCCATACTCGTTTTCCCCTATAGACTGTAGTGTTATGAAAACCTTTCGGCGAACGGTCTTCAAAATTTGTAATTCCAATCATTAATATCTTGATAATAAGACAGGCGATCGGCTTGTAAAAGCCATGGAGTTCCTGACTGACCTAAAGGTTTATAATTATGATTGCAGCATGAGCTAAATCAAGGATTATTTCTAAAGGATCTAAGACAAAGTTACCGGATCCCTTTAATACAAAAGAGATATGGATTGTAACTTCCTTGTTGGAGTAGTTCAATATCAACTGAGAAATTTACAGGCATTTTAACGCCAAAGACCTGTGTTTAATGCAATAGAGCTTGATTAGCAGAACGGCAAAATGGCAAAATGTCGTGGTCGAGTGGTTTAAGGCGCTTGACTGGAGATGCGAAGGTCGAGGGTTCGAATCCCGACACGGCACTAATACCCTTTGGCAAGATATTAACCTGCACTTGCTACTCTCCACCCAGGTGTTAAATGGGTACCCGGTAGGATGCGACCGTCATTGTTGGTCAAACAGCTTGTGAGCGTCAAGTAACGCCCGGCTGGAATGCTCCCCAGGGAGTGGAGATTGTGCACACAGTGTGTGCGGGCAAGCACTGAATCCAATGACCGGGGTAATAGTATATATTTGTAAAGCGCTTAGAGACATTTGTATTAAGCGCTATATAAAAATTAAATATTATTATTATTATACGCCCTTTAGCCAGCTGCAGAATGAAGTACTACAGTGTACATGTTTGATTCTTGGAGATATCTGTATACCAGGAAGTTGACCTGTATTTGTATTTTGTATTTATTAACATTTATTTCCTTCTCAACAGTACAATATGAAACACAATGTATATATAAACGATATATGTAACAATTATTTCAACATAGATTATACAGTAAATAATTCAGATACGGAAGGAGGCGAAAACCCGGAAAGCATAGCTTGAGTTGGGAACGACCATAATACTTATGAAGTTAAGGGGATTCTTACAATGATAACGTCCTTCTGCTTTATATGCAATAGTGCATGTTTGCATTTATCAGAACGGCGATATGCGCTTACGCCCTTCTGCCAACCGCAGGACGAAGCACGTACGTACCTTGTTCAGATATGGCAGGGCAAACCACAAACAAAAAAAACGGCCACGTTAATGAATGACAAATATTTCAAACAAAAGACTAGAGCTTATCAACTGAGCTCTATGCTATAAGATACAGAAATATGAAGCGTAGTATGCTTTAAAACGTCATGCGACGTCTCTGAACAAGCCTTTACCTGACTCCTGGAGATATCTGTAGACAAGAAAGTTCACTTCGTCACTGCTTATGCTCATCGTGACATGCTACAATTCCTCCAAACCTTTGTAGATGTGCTCTGCCTTCCGAGAATCGCAGGGAGATCTCTCTACTTCTCGTCTGATTTTTATGGCTATCAAAAATGAAAGATAAAAACCAGAATTAGACAAATCAACTTACAGTGTACCTATTACATTCCATTAACATTTCACACATGTATTGTAGATTCCAGGATTAAACTGCTCAAGCCTCAATGATCGAAAGTAATTTTTTCACTACGTCTACGTCTATGGTGGTACTCGTCAAAAGCTTTTTCAGCAACTAAACGAGGATATTGTGGTGTGGTGTCTCTCATAGTGGTCATGATTGATTAGTGCATAGTGCTTATATACAAGTTGTGCGAGTAAAAAAAAGTTCCTCCTATGATTTAGGCACTGATGGCTCCCTTGAACTTCTCCACAAAGGGCAGGTAATTACTTACACTTTTTTTTAACATTGAGGATCTACAGTAAGTGTACATGTACAGGAGCCCCATGGCCCTGTTTTACAGAGAATAGGCCATTTTTTTAATGTGATCAAAATTCAATGCACAAATCTTAATGCTCAAATGCAATTTGCATTCTGACTATCAAATTACAACTATTTGTATTACAACTGAATAAAATAATTTGTAACAACTTCACAGAGATTTATGCATCAAATTTGATTACATTACAAAAATAATCTATTACGATTGATCCAGATTGATCGCAAGTCCTCCAATCAATCACAGACAAACTCTTGTATCCTTTAGTTTCATAGTACAGAGTTACGAAATATGACAGTCGATTTTGAAACATTCAGATGATAGGAAATTTATACAAAACTCATATGAAGAAAGAATTATCTTATAATGAAAGGAGTGTACAGACTAGAAAAAAAACTGTATAAAGAAACGTCATGTCAAGAAACTAATTTAGAAGAGGTCAATCAACACGACAGCTGCATGGCCATTCATCAGTGATGTGTTTACCTCTGGCATTTTATACCTTTTTTACCTCTATCTATGTTTTCTCATATTTGAAACAAATTTATTTAGATCAATTACTGATTACAACCAAATGGATCGACGTACAGCAAACTTTGTAGACTCCAAATGGGTGCAACTAGAAAATCTATGTATTCTCATTTTTCAACAAAATTATTTAGATCAATTACTGAGTACAACCAAATGGATAGCAAAATTTGTAGACTACAAAATGTACATATGGGTGAGATTAGAAAATTTACCATCAAAAATAATTCTGGCGATATCGTGATCAAAATATGCTACATGCATGTTGAAAAAATGACAACAACAAGCGCTTAATTCGCGTACGAGAGTTTACGAGTGATCCACAAAAAAAAAAACTAACCACCAAAGGTAATTAGGTACTTGCAAAATTTGCCAAAGTCAAAATATCATACAAATACAATTAGTTGGTATCACTATTTGTAATTTATTTACAGTTTTGAAGACATCTTCTCTTCTCAAACTCTTGTTGAAAAGTTCATATTTTCTAAAGGAAATCTGGGCACCAGGTTAAGTTAATTTCATGTTCCTGAATCCTTTTTCCATCGTTGATATCAGATTTTAGAAATCTTACTGATTTTTTGAGATATGGAACTGTTCTTTAGACCCTATATAGCAGAATTCTTTTGTTGATTTATAATTTCATAGTTGCACCATTTGTCTACAATTTCACCGTTCATCTGGTATTAATTGATTTAAATGAATTAGTGTAGAATATGAAAAATGAAGGATCAAATACCATATTCCTAATTATTTGTTAATGTCGACTGCAAACTTTGGACATCCCATCATGCGTGCATGTTGACTGTCTATGGTAGATCTACACCACATAGATTTTAATAATCAGTAGATTATAATGTAGACTTTTTCGCAGAAAATAGGATCACGTGGATAATTGTGACATTTTAGAAGAATAACAAGTGTGCGAAATTTGGTAGCCCCATCGTTTCTACACAAAATTATTGAATGTTGTTCCCAAAACCAAGACGAAAAGCATGCCAATTTCTTTAATTTTTAAATTGAATGAAACTGAATCAAATTGTCACTTTATTACATAAAACTAGCCTGATGATTGTTATAAACTAAATGTTGGATTTGCTGGATTTTAAAATACATAACTAAAGGTAATGGTCATCATTTTTAACAATCTACCATCATCCATGTTGAAAGAATGTTGAATAGCATTTTGTAGCTGTTCAAGATCTGCTGGATGTGTTCACACTCCATTTATTTGAACATGACCTGTGAGCTCAAACCACGCTAACAACACGATTGGGCACCTATCGATAGCGGGCATCGCATTCTGTGTGAACACTCCTGTTTCTTGTGCACATCATCACACAGCCTGCACACAGAGTGCTCCGTAAACGCACGTCCACACACCACGGCTACGAAACACTCGCGTCATGGTAAGGCATACTGCGATCAATGCTACATCAAAGACGAAATGGTACTCACAAATTATAACTTCTTGAACCAGCTCAGATTCCACCGGATCCTTATTTTCATTCCACCAGTTGAATCATTGATATTTTTATAATTATTTAACTAGGTATACCGCTCTCGTTTTTTCCTCGTTAAGTCGTAAAAGGGATGAATTTACGGCCAATTCGTCGGGATTCCTCTCACACAAAATGGCCGCGATTTCACTCTAAATTGGTAGACACTAGTTGGCGTCATTCCGGTATATGTGACGTCATCACGATGATCCTGAAGGCCGTAATTTAACGCGCGTTATTTTGAAGAAGAAAAAAAATGAGGCAAAAAAAATTTCTCTCTTTTCTTCTTCTTCTTTTACCTATTCTTCTTCTTCTTCTTTTACTTTTTCTTCTTTTTCTTCTTCTTCTCCTCCTCCTTCTTCTTCTTCTTCTTCTTTTGATCTTCTTCGCGTCTTCTTCTTTTTTTCCTTCTTCTTCTCTTCTCCTTTTTTGCTTCGTGATTTTTTTTATTTAACACAAATTTGTATTAGATCTATATATATTTTGTTTAGGTGGGGGAGGGCTATTTTTAGTATTTTTCTGTTTGTTATGTTTCGTTTATGATTTCTACATCAAACGTGTGGTACCGCTGCATGTAGGCTGATAGTATAGACTTCGTTTAATTTGGCGGAACATATAGTAGGGCAAAACCAAACTGATGTGTAGCATTTTATATACTAGTAGCAAACTGATCTTTGTCATTTTGTTTAAACCTAAGGAAATTGTATCCCCTTTCAAATTTCCAACCCAAGAGGCAGCTGGGGGAATTTTTAATATCATTATTACTAATTTTTTTTAAAGTTCGGGTACTGCCCCTTTTGACTAGTTTATTTATCGAACCCTGGGTATCAATCTTTGTTTAGTCCGCAGGCTGAAGGTTCTATTTTCAGTCTACTGTGAAAAGAAAATATTAAGCTTTAAACTAATTTAGAGAGAATTTTCTTTAAACAGAAATATAGACTTCCAACAATTAATCTCTAGCTCTCTCTCTCTCTCTCTCTCTCTCTCTCTCTTTATCCTTCTCTTCAACCCACAGTCATCTCTAACTTTATTGTTCTTAAATTTCTTTCCTCTCTCTCGATCTTGCTTTGTCTCTCTAAGAAGCTAAAACCTGCTTTATCTCCATCCCTCTCTCCCACCATCTCTCTTCAAGCAACGAAGTCCTCTAACTTCATGTTCTTAAATGTTTCCTCTCTCACACTCTCTCTCTATAAAGAACACGGCGCCTTCCCCCTCTCTCCCTTCAAGCCAGTCCTCTCAATTTCAATTTATTGTTCTTAAAATTTTCCTCTCACTCTCTGTCTCTCTAGAGTTAAGACTGCTCTGTCTCGCTCTTCCCATCTCCCCAACACCCCCTCTCTCTCTCTCTCTCTCTCTCTCTCTCTCCCTCTCCCTCTCTCCCCCTCCCTGCTAAAATACATGGGTCTGCTTTGCAGTTTTATGTCTCATCATACACAGAAAAACAAACAACACAGAAATTTACTACATCGCTGACAAACAAAATTGGTGGCATTTATATCTTTATACAGCAATGTCTTTAATTGCACATACTTTATCGGACTTTTGTGCCCATGCAAAAATATAAATCAGCAGAGAAAATTAGAAAGAACATTATTTCCTATACTTATGACAATAATGACATACAGTCAATAATACCCTTCAGGTTCTCCACAGATGGATACGGTAGAACACACTAACACAATATTTGAAACTTAATTTTAAAAAGGAAAGAAAAATAAACAGCATGATGATAATCTTGTTCTCATAATTTTGTAAGATAACGGCAAAGAGCCTTTTTCTGGGGTCAGATGACAGTCGTTTTTTAAAATCAGGACTGAAAAGAATGCAAAAGGAAGAAAATAGTTCACATAGAAGCAACTGAAGAATAAAAATGAAAATCTGAAGTGAATATTTACACCTAGCGCTTCAACAGGTCATTTCCTAGAAACACTGTGGAAAAACCTAGATTCACAGAAAAAGGTCTATTCCTCACAATGTAAAACATAAGTATATCAATATGTTCAAAGTATAAAAATACAATATTTGTTATATGTTTTTCTTTCTTTTTTCTGGCATAAAAAAACATATACTCATATCTTGGCTCACTAACAAAATAGTGCAGATTCTTTTTCTGCCTACATAAATTCTTCAACAAAAATATGTAATATTTTACATAAAACTGTTACAAATACAACCAGAACAAAAGAAAATAGCCTATGTAAATTATGTGTTATCATAAAACAATTAAAATATGAGTAAATAAATTGCAACAAAGCTCTTTAAAACACTAAAGATTAAATATCACCAGATGTATTAACAAGGTTTGTACACTGACTGATTTCTACCCTCTTCTTCATCTTTAAAAAAATTAAATCATGTTACCGGTATTCAGAAAGCAAACCACATTGGATCTAGCTTAACGCTCATATGTTGTTTTTCTGAAGGTTCATAATTCTCAACCTTATACCGTAGTTATTCTATAAGTTCGTAATACCAAAATTTCTGCTTTGAAAGCTTGAAAAACAACAAAAAGTGGTAGAAAAACAAAAACAATAAATTGCAAGGTACAATATCGGAAATGGATACTGCCTCATTAACAAAGAACAATAACAAAAAATAAAGTTTAAAAAACACAGAACAGCACCTAGTTTTAACGCAAAATTAAATTAATTTTGCGTTTCTTACAACATGGCAAGAGAACTAAAGCAATTATACCTTTCCTTTCTATGTTTATGATTTCATACACATATGTGAAAGTGAAGAAAAAAAATGCATCTATTTTAATGCGGCAATCAACTGTAAACAAAATCAGAGAAAATAGTTTTGATATATGCCTGGTACAAGGGCACAACTGGATGCACAAGGCAGCCAGTAAATGTATATTTATAGAAGAGCATATTTTAAAGTTTTGAACCGTAGGTGTCACTTTCATATCCAAAGGGGTAAATAAACATGATCATCAGCTGAGTAAAAAGTTACCCCTATTTGCAGATGTTCATGAACATTACCCACACAATATGACAATTTTTTGCCTTACAACAGGTACAAACTGGGCACCAAATATAACCATATGTTTGGCTCCCCAAGTATAAATTTACAAAAAGGACCCTATTTTTCCGCGAAATTGCATAATGTTATTTGAGGTACAGGTTCCTCTTTAAAATATGTGACCCTTTAAAAAAAAAAAAGATTTGTTTTTCTTTTCAAAGTCTATGAACATTAAAGTCTTCACGAACATCCCCGAAAATGAACCTTTGGTTGAAATTTCTAACTATCATGCGTACACATTGTCAATATAAAGCGACACCATCAGGTACTGACCTTTCATCAGATACATCTACATAGCGCATATCAATCTAAACACTGTATCTCAATAAATGTTATCAGTGTTAAAATAAATCTTATCTCTGTCACTGTTTTAATCCATCCCTTTAATACAAAATCAAGAAACTAAAAAATAATGACATTAGTTTGTACTCGTGCTCTTCTTCCAATAAAAAAAACCAAATACACTTTAGGATATGCATCGTTTATATTGTAAACCAAATCTTGCATATGATGTATATATTTTGCGAAATATATCTTTAAAAATTCAATCAATCAAAAAAATATGCTGCATTATAATAAGAGATTGCAATGCTTCAATCACAACAGATTATACATGCACTTATCCGCACAACTTTAGACAACACTTGTTGACGATCTTGCCTGCTTAGAGCTATAGGTAGGCATTATCGAAAATACTTTAAAGATAAAGGTGAGTTCTTGTCAGCGATTGTATTGTAAAAGAAAAGGTGTGGAATGGATCAGAAAAAGTTGATCATGTAGCATGTAAGTATTGGTGTGTACTGCAAGGTTCTGGGGTCATCAAAATCATAATAAATTTGGCCCAGTCTTGGTAAAGTAACAAGCACTTTACACAGAAAGATGTGTATGGGACTACACAAATGGTGTCAGGGCTAGTACTACCTTGATTTCCTTATCTTTCTATGCTCATTACTCAGCCAGTATACATTTTCTTCCAAAATTGTTTGGCACATGACATTTATTTGTAATCTTGAACATTCAGTGTACGTTTCGTTAGATTCTTTGAGAATTCATTTTCTTTTTTTTACCAGAACTCAAGTTTATCTTTGTTATCTCTTTAAAAACTTTAATTTTGAGTTAACGCTCTTCTTCATTTAGCTTTGATGATTCGTTCGCTGTATATATATATATATATATATATATATGTGTGAAATATTTCTACATATAAAAACTTAGTATGTACGTTTATAAAAAAAAAGCACTTCCAATTGCCGTCAGCTAATTGTTTGCTTACAGTACAATGACCATATCCCAAAAGAATCAAATTAAGTATCACTGAACATGGTGATATTGAAAAAGCACTCACTATGAACATAACTGACAAAGAAAGCGGACAAAATATACAGTTCCTCAGGTAGACAAAGGAACATCCCTTCACTGCCATTATGTAAAAAATGTGTAGAACAGGTGTCACATGCATATTCACCTTTTTACATAATAGCAGTGAAGGGATGTTCCTTTGTCTACCTGAGGAACTGTATATTTTGTCCGCTTTCTTTGTCTGTCATGTTCATAGTGACTAAAGGCTTGTTCAAATATGACACGGTAAATTGCCGCACAACAAAATATTTTTTTTTAAAATTTAAGTGTAAATGAATGGCAATGGCTGGTAACAAGGTCCTATGCATATTCACTGAGGTATGTGTTATAAGATGCACAAATGTTAAGCATATTACAGCTGACCTCATCATAAAACAGCCGCCGTGGTTTACTGCTTCATATCTGAACCAAAGCTTGACTTGGAACCAACCTCTTCGATGTTACTCAAACCATGGTCTACGAGATATTGCAAAGCATTCTGTTCAGTCTGGGAACAAAGACATGTTCAGACTACATGAAATTTGCGGTTTACCTCAATATATATAAAACAACCGCCAAGGTTTACCGCTTCATATCTGAATCAAAGCTTGAGTTGGAAACAACCTATTTGATGTTACTTAAACAATGGTCTACGAGATGTTGCAAAAGCATTCCGTTCAGTCTGGGAACAGTAGCATGTTCAGAGTACATGAAATTTATGGTTAACCTCATTATGAAGCAACTGACATTATTTACCGCTTCATATCTGAACCAAAGCTTGAGTTGGAACCAACCTTTTCGGAGCTACGTACTCAAACCATGGTCTACTCGATATCGCAAAGCATTCTGTTCAGTCTGGGAACAGTAGCATGTTCTGACTACATGAAATTTACGGTTAACCTCATTATATATAAAACAACCGCCGTTGTTTACTGCCTCATATCTGAACCAAAGCTTGAGTTGGAACCAACCTTTTCGGTGTTACTCGAACCATGGTCTACGAGATATTGCAAAGCATTCTGTTCAGTCTGGGTATATAGAATCATTGTTTTGTGAAAGGAGCATACAGACTAGAAAGCAACATCATATTATAAAAAAAGAATCAGTATAATTTTGAAGAGGTCAGGTGACATGACCTTTGGACAATCATCAATGCGCGCTCATGATAAGCCCCGCCCAGTTTTACAATTTTCACACGATAAGACATTCGGACTAAAGCGCAACCCTGATTTTTTTATCTAGTTTTCATTCGAAATTATGCTAAAACATGCATTCTGCTATACAACGTTTTTGATACCATGTTCAGACGAGAAACGATATAATTATTCATCGTATAGCTATACGATGACTTCTGGTGGCCTGCATGCAGGGTAGGACCTCACTATTAAGATGACGGACAAAGAAAGAGGACAAAATAAACAGTTCCTCATTCTACCCTCAACAATTGCTGTGGTAGACAAAGGAACATCCCTTCACTGCTAATATGTAAAATAAGTAGAACAGGTGAATATGCATGTGACACCTGTTCTACACATTTTTACATAATAGCAGTGAAGGGATGTTCCTTTGTCTACCACAGCAATTGTTGAGGGTAGAATGAGGAACTGTATATTTTGTTCTCTTTCTTTGTCTGTCATGTTCATAGTGCCTGTTTTTATAACTTTACCTTTGTTGCAAAATCTAAATTGGCAGACAATGGGATTTTCCCAAAGAATATCAATAAGCCTTCCATACATGTATATCATATTTAAAACATAGACTGTACTTTCACTATACTTTCTCAAAGAGCAGTTTAATATCTAATATACATGATGGTACTATAAAATTTTCAACTTCTATTTGAAATCAGAGTTCTACACACAAAATTGCATGTAAACATGTAAGTACATTGAACGAGTACAATGCTCTTAAATTTTACAGAATAATTGGTAATTTCTCGAAAATCACATGATTTTTCTTTTCAACATCAGCTAGCAACAATGAAGTACAACTGCTACAGACTGTTACTATTTGGCACATCCCTCATTTGCATTAGCAAGGCATCGCACATTACTTCAACTGTACAACAATAATATGGGACATATACATAGCACCAATAAAAAATGTTTTTAATACATGTACATGTATTATCCTTTAACATGTGATATTCAATACAAATTTCAGTCTTAACATATATGTCTGATGTGGACAATGTAAGATGGTATGTAAGGTAACAAAAATTAAATGCGGATTTTCCGCAGACACCAGGCTTTGCATTAAAGGGATCATTTAACAATGTTAAATCTGAGATACACGGCCCTACGTGTTATCAGTGTCTGTGATATGGTGTAATATTGAACCCCTAAAAAAAATTGCGCTTCAAAATGATCAAGAAGTGCCTCAAAAAGTAAAAATCTTTGAGTGACCGGTTTTACCATACTCGTTTTCCCCAATAGACTGTAGTGTTATGAAAACCGTTAGGCAAACGGTTTTTAAAATGTGTAATTCCAATCATAACTATCTTGATAATCAGAGAGGCGATCTACTTGTAAAAGTCATGTGGTTCCTGACTGACTTAAAGGTTTATAATAATCATTGCAGCATGAGCTAAATCCAGGATTTTGTTTATCCCTTTAAAGCCAACCTTGAGCTCTGGTATGGGCATCGTATGTCGAGAGAACATGGCTATAATTCATTCTGGATTGTTTGTCCTGCAGTAGATTGATTGTTTGAACCAGTAAAATAATACAAACTCACAAAAACTTGCTGTAAATCATCTTCAATAAAACCACAACTCTCATTTGCACATAGTAACCTGCGGTTAAGCACATGGTGTCGGGCCTACTTACCTTGATTTCCTTATCTTTCTTTGCTCATTTCTCAGCCCTTATACATTTTTCACCAAAATCTTTTGGCACTTGTCATTTATTTGTAATCTTGAACATTCAGTGTAAGTTTTGTTGGATTCTGTGAGAATTTATTTTCTATCATTACCAGAACTCAAGCTTATCTTTAAGCTACCATTAATAATGTTCAGAGCCAAAAGGGCGTTAACTCTGTCTAAAACAATACAAAATTACGACCATCTGGCTCCAAACAGACGAAATGGTCTTATTTACCTAGGGTAGCGACATCAGTATTATGTGGTCTTTATAGACAAGTGATCTTTCTATACAGATGGCCACTATAAAAAAAAGCCCATTTCTCTGTACCATATTATCATTTTTTCTACAGAATACTGGTACTTCATGACTAAAGCTGTCAAACCTGCTTTAGTGAACACCTGTCTACAAAGACCACATTTTTTGTTTCCCTTGAAAATGGTTTCTCATTGAAACATGTGCTAAAGGAACCTGTCTACAAAGACCACTTTTTGTGTTTCCCTTGGGCGGTCGCTATAGACAGGTTTGACTGTATAATCACCCATAGGTTTTTAGTGATATAATTTATAACTATAATTCACATCTGGGTGCAAGACCAATATTGCTTATTCTGGATCAACAAGTAAAATAATCTTTATTCCATTACATCCCAATTTCAATGGGATAAAGTTAGTTATCTGGCATCTATATTAGAAATGAATAAAACACTATAATCTTATAGATATCAAAGGCTAATCACTTAAGCATAGTTCTTATTAACAAAAAAAGCAAAATACAATGCTTGGGACGGATCTGATAATAATATACTATTAGGTATTTCTAAAGTCCCAACCTTAAACTAAATCAAAAATGTTGCACATCGTCACTTTGAAGAGCGTTAAATCTGTGTTAAACAGCCTTCTGGCTCCAAACGTACGATGCATCGCTACATTGTGAATATACATACCTCACAATTGGTCAATAAGTACCATTTCCGAACTGCTCATAGCTTGAACTCTGTTTACCGCCTAACATCAAATGTTTAACCTTTTTATCATTGTTCAGTTATACCTTTTACTTTCCATATGACATGCAAAAATAATCATTTAGTCTCTTCATAAACTTTATCTTTGACAACCTCTGGTTGATTGCTTTCGTCCGGGCTCTCCAGTTTTCTGCAGAGGTTGTTGATCCCTTCTGCCAGTTTCTCTGGGACAGCATTGACGGCCTTGGCGACCCACTGGCGAAGCACTTGGGAGGCCACTCCCTGGTTGCTAGGCGACAGGTCGTAGATTGATTGAGCAGTGTAGAGCTGCATGGGCCATGGAACTGCAGCAGAAAGTGGATGAGATAAAAATACAGCCCTGCATTAGTGACCACATGTCTACAAAGACCCCATTTTCTTGTTTCCCTCAAAAATGGTTTCTCATTGAAACATGTACTAAAGGAGTTCTGAACCTTTCTACATAGACCGCCTGTCTACAAAGACCACTTTATGTGTTTCCTTGGGCGGTCACTATCGACAGGTTCGACTGTACTAAAAGTGCACCAATCACTCCTAAAAAAGTATTTTTCTCTGCATGTTTCCAGTTTCCTGTCGCTATACTATATATAAGCTTTGACCTCCAAACGTAACTTCTATGATCATAAAGAAATATTGCAAGTTTATTATAAACTCTCAATTAACATTAAAGCTAATTGAAAGCTGACTAGTCAAACCACCTGTACATGCTCGCACAGAACCAGAGTCTGACATGGGTTCCATGAACGGATTTTAATGTTTTTCTTTATTTTTGTCATACTCCATATCTGGTAAAATTTTCTGAGGTTTATTTTATATAGGCTACGAAAGGGGGTGGAAAAGAAATAGAATTCATTATACCACAGACTCAGTTAAATCATTTACACGAAATGCAGTAATTATATCAATGTTCATGCTGTAATAAATATTCCTACAGGTTACATGTACATCAATGTAGAGCTATACATTTCAAAGGATATAGATAGGAAAGGAAACACATCGAACATACAATTCAAATTATCTGAAGCATTGGAATTATCAAAAACACTAGATTAACACTTTGTATACAGGAGCCGAGCGGTCCCTGTATTAGACCTATGGGAGTTAGATAATTCAGAAGTCAACGGGTTAAATTAATCTATTTAATTCCCTTTAAAAGAAATTAAGAAATAACAAATTAACTTACTGCTTTGAGATGGTTGCTGTAATACTGCTATTAGCATTTTCATGAGCTGCTCAACGGACTGAACATTCAGTACAAGCCCAATCTGTCCAACGTTGCCTATGAACAAAAAGATATACAGAAAATGTTTATTTCTTTCATTCACTTTCCAAATGCAAGTTAAGAAAACAAAACATGCGAAATCCAAAAAATTAACGTAAATTCTATAAAATACAAAGGGAAACTTAGATACAAATATACAAACAAATTATTAGTCATTGACAAAAGGTGGAAATAATGAGTAAACTATAATGTTGCTTATTTTAAGATTTCATCAACTGAATGTCATTAATGAAAACTATTGTAAATGTATTAAAATGAGTTTCCTTTTACACCCTTTACAATTCTGTTCCTCATGTCTTTACTATCCTTTCATGCTAAATTTCTCAAACGTCCTATACAAAATTTCCAATATTCTGACAAATTTAAAAAAAATCAATAACTGCATGCATACCTAACAATTCTTGGATATTTAGAATGCCTGATTCACATTCTAAACAGCAATACAAATACAAACGGGATCACTCACCAATAACCTTCATCACTGCACAAGCAGTAGCCAACGAGGTGCTTGATTGTCCTGCTAGACTTCCATCCCCAGGAGTTCCATCCTCTTTCTTCTCAGCAGTGCCCTTGGTTAGACTCTTGCTCCAGTCTTTTAAAATGGGCCAAAGCTGTCCGATGATGAGCTTATTATTAGTCCATTCCCAGCCTTGAGAAGAGGCTAGAAGCTCGACAGCCTTAATCGTTTCAAAGCACTTGTTTCCCAGAACGATCTGTGTTTTATCTGAATTTCAAGAGCAAAATAATGGGTTTCGAGTAAAATCATGAAGTACCGACGCATGTACATTGTAAGCAAAATTGAAATAAACACTATCTAAAATTTAAGAAAGAATAAAGGATTTTAAGTAGCCCTATTCCACTGTGAGCACATAAGGGAGCATTGATTAATAATAATAATGATAATAATAATCAATTTTTATATAGCACACAACACATTACAAAGTATATCCCTATGCGATCAATCTGCTCACTCATCGCTCTTCTATTATTGAGAGTGTATGTAGAGGTGTTGTCTAGTGGTTTATTCACCATACTGTGGATCACATGGTTTGCGGTTCGAGTCCTGCCACGGCACTAAGGTCCTTTGTCACGATCGACCCAGGTGAGGTAAATAATATCTGAGCGCCATTATGGCAGCCATGTTAAAGCCAGGTTAATGATTGTGAAGCGACAGGAGTGTCAAGTCTGACAGACACGAGCGCTATACTAGAACCAACAGTACTGTTATAATTATTATTATTATCATTATTATTTGAATGTGCGATATCTCTTCAAAGAATTGATATTTGAAGCCCGCATTTCAACTATGGTATGTCGACGTAAAACCCTGAACGTCCGGAGCAAAATACTTTTTAATGATTGATACACTTGAAGGAAACATCTTCAACTTACTTTGTTGGAACGTTGCTATTTCAGGATCCTTTAGCAGGCCTATCAGCCAATGAGCATGAGAATCTCCCTTTGACTCCGAGGCCATGGGATTCCAATGGCACAGATGGGTAAAACACTTAATAATCTAATGGAAAATAGATTAGTAAAAAAAGTATATCAAATAAACTTGCTAGTTGAAATGTTTTATAATTCAATGACCGACTATATCATGGTTGACACAAGCTAAATAGTAATATTACAGGTGTCGTAGTTCAGTGGTTTAAACACGAGACTGGAGATGCTGGAGGTCATTGGTTCAAGCCCCAAGGCATTAATCTACATTTGCCACTCTCCACCCGGGTGTTAAATGGATACAGGACGGAAGGAAAGAATCCCTTGCATTCCTTGCCTCTGGCCTCAGTGAAATATAACATCGCTCCACAAAACTCTGACTTTGTCTGTTCATATATTTTGTTATAGTAAATACAATTATCACCATTATCATCAATTATTATATACAAACAAGTCTGTTTTCCCAGGGAATAAAATTATATACAAACAAGTCTGTTTTCCAAGGGAATAAAATCATGCATTTCATTTGTTTTGTTTGATCAAGTTCAATATTATTAGCATATTGCTTTTTCTCTGTATATTATGTCACTCCACCTGTGGAGAGTCAGCATGAGATATTTGTTACAATATTGCAAACCGAGCGTGATTTTCTCATATTTAATCTTGCGCATGTGTATGAGTATTTACTCACAAGAAAAGCCAGGTGTTCTCTTGCACCCACAGTAAATTTCACTGCAGATATATTTATTCGAATTTGCATCTATGATAATACAAAAGCTTTCTTTTGTGGTATATAAGACAAACTGCATTCAGCTAGCACGAATAATGCTCTTGTATACAACTCATGCAATATGCGTCAAAATGGGCAGCCTAGCATATCCGGGTAATGTTACGTGCGCTATATAAGAATCCAATATTTTTATTATTATTATTATTCTCAAGCTGAACGCAATACATGTATATCAGATATACCACTCACGGGCAGCCGATATCTTATAAATCATTTTGGCCGTACCTTCTCTGCAGTTTCTCTCGTGAAGGCATTAGTGCTCTTGGCGTCAGTCTGAAGTTGGTGCATGAACAAGATTTCCATTGTAGAAATGAGGGGGTGAATACCACCATCCTGAAAAGAAAGAAAATCAAAAGTCATTGCTTAGTAACAACATTTCTGGTGATAACTGAGGAAAGAACCAAGATGTCTTCAATTTCAAATCTGTAATAAAATATAACAATTCTTGCTACCTCAATTACAGTATTTGGCCGTAGAGGGCAGCACCAGCAATGGGTATATTTGGCAAAGGCATTTCCGGTTCTATACAAATACAAGTCCGATAGAAATTATAGTTTCGAAACCAAAAAACTTCAAGTAACAGATTATGATGGTGCCTACATAGATCTCATCAAATCATTGGGGAGTTCATGAAACCTGAACAAAATGGCACAAATGACCAAAAATATCCATTGAAGTTTTATTTCATCATTATTATCAAGGGCAAACATTGTCTGTTCCATCTCTTCAACCATTTTCAACGACCTTGTTACCATCTATCACTTTCCAAACCAAGATAGTTCATCGTGAACATCGTCATGGTCATCAATGTAATAACTGCTAACATCCCTATCTGATATTAATCCTCCCCTTCGGCTCCCCCTCCTCCTCCCATCATCATGCTCATGCTCATGATCATGATCATGATCATCATCATGATCATCATCATCTTCATCATCATCATCATCATCATCATCATCATCATCACCACCGCCGCCGCCGCCGCCGCCGCCGCCGCCACCACCACCACCACCATCATCATCATCATCATCATCATCATCACTATCATCATCGTGATCACCATTACTGCCACTACCGCCATCACCAAAATCATCATCACCACCATCATCATCATCATCATCATCATCATCATCATCATCATCATCATCATCATCATCATCATCATCATCATCATCATCATCATCATCATCATCATCATCATCATCATCAGCTCATACCTTCTTTCTCAGAATGCTCGGCCAAACAGCAGCCATGGCAAGTAGAAGATGATAGCCATTGGGTAGACTTTCCCTGAGGATATCATAACACATGACCCTGGCTCGAACCATCCAATCTGTGCAAACAAAACCAGAAAAATAACGATATAATCTAAAATTGTCACTCTTCAATGCATTCCAAAAAATTATTTTGCTCTACATTTCAGAGGTTTAATGCCACTATACTATAATATATTTTCTGTGATGAGATATCGCAAGTATTTGAATAAATTCTTAATAAATATATAAGCAACTTTGTGATGAGACTAGTAAATGGACTGATTCACACTCACAAAGACAAGGATGCACACACTTAAACAAAGTTCAACTTTTGGTTCTGTGTGTGCTGTTCGATGTTATTCTTCTTTTCATTCATACTCCTAAACCTAAAGAATACTGGGTAAAGTTATTCAGGGTCGGTTTTATTTATTAAAGCAGTACATCAATAACTTTGGAAGTGATTCATAGTACTCTTTAGGGTGTGTTAAAATCTTCAGTTCATAGAATGAGAAAACAACATTCAACCCCACACAAACCAGAAAATAATTCTACATGTAGTCTTATTTCACCTATATGTTTGTTTGTTTGTTTGTATTGATTGTTTCAGGGGTGATAGTGAGCACAAAACGAAAAATAGGTTTTTGTTTTCCCCTCAACCACGCCCCCCTTGAGTAAAAAAAAGAGGAGAGGATTCCCCCCGTTCGAGAAAGAAAATTGGGAAAAAATTAGGGCAAAATAGAAAAAATAACAGGGAAATCTGTAAAATCAGGATAAAAGAGGGAAGAAGAACAAAAATCTTTTTTTTTTTTTTTTTTTTTTAATCGGGAAGAAAAAAAAAAATCGGGAAACCGATTTAAATCGGGTTTTGATGTATCGAAAGTGATAATAACGATTCATCTCTACCTGAATCTCTGCAGATGGCGGCAAACAGTCGGCTGAAGGTCAGAGTTCGACTGAGGTCCACGCCTTCCTGACTAGCTAGTCTTTGCCCAAGTTCGCTCATCAAATAATGCATCACATTTTTCTGTGGACAACAAAAATAGTGTTAATGCTCAAAATCTGAGTTGGGGCTTGCTCAGATATTTTGTGGTATTAAAATTGCCGCAAAAAAGCTGCCCGCGATTTCTCAACGTGTAACTGAATGGATACTGCAAGCAATAAAGGACTTGTGCGTCTTCACTGAGTTCTGTGATATTACATTCAGTAATGTGAAGCACATTACACTTTACGTCATCATTTTAAAAACCCAGCGATTTTGCCACGTTATATCTGAACGAGCCTTGAAGAGGCAATAATATGTTTAAAGCTAGATGCTTTGAACAGTTCTGAAAAAAAAGGAGAGAAACAGCTTGAAAATTATTTGAAAGAAGTTGGATTAAAGATTAAAGAATCATTTACAGGCTGTGGAGAATAACACCTAAATTTGTTTTCCCTTAGTATTACAAACAATGTAAACATGATTATTGTAGGTTTAAGAGCATAAGGTGTTAATTTAGATCTATGTAAGAGTATGAGTTACAAGAGCAATACTTCAAAACCAAAAACTTTCACACATAAAAAAATAGGGTAGATGGCCTTTTCTAATCGTTTGCAATATTCCAGACCCCTTCATTTTTGTTTAAATCGACAGCATGGGAAAAGAGTCTTGGCTAATTCTCACTGCACTGTCCAAGTAGTAACTGTAATAGGTGATGCGAAACACAGCATGCAGCTTTTGTAGGGTACATGTACAAGTACTAAAAGATCTGTGGGTATTTGGGGGTCACTCGTACAAGTGCAATCTCCATAGTGGACTATTGACTAAGCGAGAGATAATCATAGATATATATATATATATATATATATACACTCACTCTTTTCTTTTCTCTGGTCCACAAGTAGACGGTCTTTGAAATCTGCTCTTCATGAGGGGAGATCACGGGCTGCGTTGACGTGTTACCCACAATGCACTTGGCATAGATCGCTGGGAAGAGGTTCACACTGTTCTGCCCCAAGAACTATTGAAACAGGAAAAACGGGAAGCAAGACAGGGAAACAAATCAGATAGACAATAAATGAATGAGAGCAATTAAAGAGAAGGTTGAGGTCTGGGAAGAGGTGAAAAATAATTTATGAGCTTTACTCATTCTTATTATGCAAGTGTGGAAGAACATCAATTAAGACATGTTCCCTGAAAAGCATGGCTCGTCAAATGCCTTCATATTCTAAATATGCATGTAACATCGTAAAAATCGGGGGGCCGGCTTTTTACGCCACGTGTTCGTGTAGTCCCATATACATCTTTCTGTGCAAGTGTTTGTAACTTTACCAAGACTTGGCCAAATTTCTTATCATTTTGATGATTCCAGAACCTTGCAATACACACAAATTCTTATATGCTAGATGATCAACCTTTTCTGGTCGGTTCCACACCGTTTCTTTCACAATGCAATCGCATGACCAGAACTCAACTTCATCTTTAAGAAGTGCTACATATGTTTTTTTTTTATTTCTTTTTCTTTTCTTGCAATCTATGCAAATACTTAATTTACATATAAACGCAGGTAACTCAAACGCAAGTAATTACAGATGTGTTCTTGTGATTTAGACACTTAATATTCTCATTCAACACTGTGCGATGACTTTGTCATACAGTATTGTTGAACAATTTGAGTGCACCTTGTCTTAACCTTTATAATAACAACATGTACAGCCAGTAGTTATGGCTTAACAATAACAATTTATTTTTTATCAATGGAGACCGTTTATTTTCAAACTTTTGAGAATGAATCTAGACGAACCTCAATGATGTAGTCAAACAAACCAGTGTATAATGGCTTGGTAGAGAAACCTGTTTATTTTTTATTAATGGTGACCATTTATTTTCAAACTTTTGAGAATGAATCTAGACGAACCTCAATGATGTAGTCAAACAAACCAGTGAATAATGGCTTGGTAAAAAAACCTGTTTATTTTTTATTAGTGGGGACCATTTATTTTCAGATTTTTGAGCATGAATCTAGACAAACCTCAATGATGCACTCTCCAATAGGGAAGACTGATTCCTTTGGGCTGTGTTCTCGTATCAGACGAAGTACATCATGAAGATGAAGCTTCTTCAGGGCCTTAATTTGGTCTGGCGTCACTGGACCAGACAAGAGCCTGGACTGGCTTGGTCTTTTAAATGCAGTCTTGGCCTGGGCCTTGCTTGGGACCCCATCTTGAGAACAAGTTCGAGTCTGGTTTAGGATCCCCTTTGAATTTGAGGATTCAGCTTGTGTTGTGCAGGGTGTAGTCTTGTCCAAATCCTGGACCTGGTTTACAGGTCCTGGTCCAGGTTGGGCTACATTCGGTACAAGGCTATGGAGGGCTTCCTGGGGTGGTGCTGGGACCTGTGGCTTTGGTCTGGAAGCCGGAACAAACCCTGGGTAGACCAGTCCTCTGTTTCTCGGGACTTGGTCCTTACTTGGAACCTGGACCGAATGCTGGACCAACACATGAGTGGCAGGTATAGGAGGCTCACAAGGAACCTTAAACTGGGGATTAGCACCATTTTCAGACTCCTTGGACTAATGAAAGGAAAAAATAAATAAAAATGGTAAGATAAATAAAAAGCATTTCATAAGAAGAAGCACACTGTCTTTATAATAGTGCAGGGCAAAATACTATACACATCTAGAATAGAATGAACCTAGCATTCCAAAATAAGGAACAAATCACGGGTTAAACATACAGCATTTCAACAACTCTACTGAATTTCTAGACCAGATTTCAGAAGAAAAAAGGTATTTTTCAAAGACAAAATTCCATGCTGGTAACAAAAAGGGAATCGCTATAAATTTGTTGAAAGGATGATGTTTAAAATTGAGAGTACCTTTCTGCTCTTAAAACACACTAAATGTCTTTCGTTTTACTTCTATAACATTTCATGCCCTTGTTCTGCATTCCATTTAAACTTAAGTCAACTACCAAAGAACTTTTTATATTGTTATGCAAAAGTTTCGATTTAAATGCAAAGCAGATATGGCTATAACTCCTATTATTTCACACCCTTTCCTTCTATAAGTAATTTACATTGTTTCAAAACGTACAGGGATTCAACTTACCTGAGAATTTACCGAAGTCCCCTTGGTTTGCTTCTTCTTTCGACTTCGATTCGCTCTTTCTCCTCGGTCATGAAAGGCCATTTGTCCCCATATGTTCCCGACAGTTGTCTTGCTTGGTAGCTTAGAGATGGGTTTATCAGGAACTACAGGTTCTGTAGCATCAGGCACATTTCTTCCTTCGTTGGGTTTTCCTTGGGTTCTCCTGTCCGGTACAAGGCGTGTCTTCTCATCGGCACGTTCATCACGAGGGATCTTTGTTTCTTCAGTCTTGGGGGGCTGCATGGAGGAGGTTCCACTACCGGAGGATCTGTTCTCCTCCCGGTGAGGGATGACCCTGCTAAAAGCCGTTGCGTCTTCATGTCCATCCGTCCTCCGCAGGTATTCGCTAAAGCCACTCTTATTCTGTAACAGGGGTGGATGCACCACATCGTTCTTTCCATGCAGTTCTCCTAGATTATTTGTGCAGTTTCGGGGCAAGGTCACACTTTGGCTTTCTTTCTCTAAACCGTCATTTGTCTTTTGCTCCCGAGTTGAATTGTGAGGTTGGTTGGTGGGTTCAGGTTTGGCACAGATTCTTTGGGTATAGTTTAGAACAAGATTTCCGCTGTTGATGGCTCGCGTTTCGTTCCTCGCCTCAGAATGAGATGGTGGATTATTCTGGCTGGTATCTCCAGGTTTCTTACCAGGTTCTTCAGCACTGGACCTTCTGGCTATCAGTTTCTTTGAAAAGCTACTTCGGTGATCCCCTTTGTTGTCATCTCTGTCCAGGACAGCGTTGAGGCTTCGGATGGCAGTGGTTTTGTCCTGGTTATAGCTCGGACTACTATGCTGAGGTCGCACTGTGATGGCGTCCGATGGTGCTACAGAATGGAAAATCCTAGGAGAAGGCAGTTGGGGACTCTTTCCTGGAGAAACAGTCTGGATTGTTTGGACACCCAGCACAGGTGGTTGGACATCTGCAATAGGTGAAATCTCAGGGGGATGTTGGACATCGGCTATAGGAGAAATAGCAGGTGGAACGGACATCTCAGGTATGGGCGAGACAGCGAAAGGGACGGGTGTCGGGAAGAGCGGAGATATCATCCTTGGCTGAGCTTGCGCCTCAGGATTCTCCTCGGACATCACTTCTTGCATGTCCCCTTCGGTTACATCAACAGTGACTTCTGCTGGATGGTATCGTGGCGGACTTGGTGGCAAAGGTGATAGCATTCTAGGGAAAGCTGGCAAATCGAAGAAGAATGTAGGCATGATAGGAGACACCCTCTCGACAGGCCTTTCAGGAGACATGGGAGATATCGGCCGAGCGTCAAATCCTTGAAAGGGTTCTTGAAGAGGCGACACAGGGCTGTTCCTCCCTGAGGAAGGCAGTGATGCAATGGATGCATGTCGTTCCCGATGCTGAGGAACTAGAATCGGAGGCTGTGCTCTGAGCGCTTCTACATGAGCACCTTCCACCGATGATTCTAATCCTCTGCTAGTGCTTGGTCTGTCCAAATGTTCGTGATTCCTTAACTTTCTGTTGGCATCAATTGCTGAGTTTTCATCTCCTGCATCATCAAACACACCTTCCATACATGATGAGCTCTCTCCTTTCTTTTCAATCGTATCCACAGAAGAAAGTTTGATTCTTTTACTTTGTCTGCTGGGAAGTTTTCTTTTCTTTGTGTCTTTCACATCACTTGGAATGGTCTGGTCTTTTTCTGCTGTCAAGCTCTCTCCTGTCTGTTTCCCAGTCTCAATTTGTTCTTCTCCATCCATGCAAGGAACATCGTCCATGCATGCAACAAACTCTTCAGTCTCCGACCGCATTAAGACTTTCCCTTCATTTCGCACAGGTAATTCCTCATTATCCTCCCCTACCTTGTCACCATTTCCACTCTCCACTGCTCCTGTGTCCATCGATTTTGAGATCTTAACCCCTTTCTCATCCTCAGAGCTTTGAGAATCACTATGAGTTCGTTTCTGCGATAATCTTCTCGTTGGATTTGCAGCAGCTTTGGTGAGTCTTGAGGATTTTTCATCTTTTGAAGGTGAGTAACGATCTACTTTTACTGAAGACTGGTCTTCCTGTTCTGAACTTGTCTTCCCTGTGAAGGGCAAACAAGATTCAGATGAATCAAAGTTACGTGATGCTGATCTTGTCAGACGAGCCGGTGAAGACAAGTTTCTAAGAAGTGTCCTTCCTTGAGACGATGTGTCTTCGCCAACACTCTCTTGTCCTAACTTGGATGGCATACCATCTTCTTTTGACGATTTACACAAAATGGAGTTCTCATCCTTAGAAACACTTCTTCCAGGCTTCCTTTGATATTGCGAAGGTCTATCTCCACCAGACTTATCATCTTCAGATCCTCGTCTGGAACAGCTCGTTCTTGGTGGACTACTCATTGATCTCAAAAGCTTCCTATTCAAATGTCTAGTCACTCTCTTTTTGGCTAGCAATCTTTGAGGATTTTCTAAAGACTGTTTATCATTATCAGATACTCTTTCTCTATCGTTTGTAGCTACTTTGCTTTGTATTTCAGTCATATCTTTGGAGTGTTCTGTTTTGTTGCCAGTGTTTTCACTGGAGGCCTGTGTTTTGACATTCCTCTGTCGATGTGCCAACCTTCTTGATGTCCTCCTAGCGTTGGTTAAAGAATCTGCCTCGCTGTCTGATGTCAGTTTATTAGATTTATTGGATTCATCTGAAAGCCGCTTTCCAGCAACACCTTCAATCAGCGATGCTTCGGGCTTCCTTGACTGATGACGAGTACCTGCAGATGGTTCAACCATATCTTGGCTTGGGTGTGTTCCATTGACTTTTCGGCGATCATCTTCACTTTCGCTGCTATCGCTCAGTGCACTTGATTTTCTCAGGGTCTGTCGTTTCATAGTCAGCCTTTTCTTTCTCCCAACAATGCTTGCCGTTTCACTTCCATCGCTAGCAGCACTGCCCCCAGGGTTGTACATCGAACGCTTGGATTCATCACTGGACAATACCAAGGGCAAGACATTGCAATCTTCTGACACACTTTGCCCACTCGCAACCTGTCCTTTGGTCTTTGAGCGGGTGCGTACGGCCGACACCCCATTGCGCTCCCTTCTACACTTTCCTCCTGCATCTTCTTTCCTCTCCACCTCCTCGTCAGAGGATGACAGGGTCTGAACTCTCCCCTGCAGTCTCTGCGCAAGGTCTTCCCTATCATCACTATCCACATCGGTATGCTTCTCTTTGCACACATCCTTGACTTTTCTAGGCCTTCCTCGTGGTCTCTTCTTCTCAGACATGCCATCCGCTGAATTTTCCTGCTCAAGTTTATTCGACTCCCTGGAACATGTTCCGGTAGAAGGCTTACGAGATCCTTCACTACTTTCAGACGACTTCCTCAAAAATCGAAGACCCCTTCGAGATCCTGCTCCATCTGCATTACTCTCAGGATCCTCTGTTGCACCTGTACTCTTTGTTTCTACTCTTCCAGGAGCTTTTCGTCTCGAGGAGACTCTGGTTGATGGTCTACTTTGCTCCTTATCAGATTGTTCAGTTCGGTGTCTCAGAAGTACCGGAGTGGACAGCTGGGCCTCGATTTTGGCTGCAGCCTCTGCCAGCGTAGTATCGCTCTCATTATTGTCAGAGCTATTCGATTTTTCCACTCGAGTCTGTGAATATTACAACAGAGAAATGAAAAAGGGTTGTTACCATGAAAGATATACCAATGTCAATTACTATTTTTGTCTTCAGAAACATATTTGGACCAATTTTTCATGCCACATGTGCCACTTAGTCCCATATACCTGTTTCTGTGTGCAGTGCAAGAGGCATTTTTAACAAGGCTGAGTCTGTATATTAATCCTTTTGATGATTCTAAAAGTTCACAGTATACACCATTTCTTATATGCTATAAAATAGACTTTCCTTTTTGCTTCCACATGGTTTCTTTAAAAATGTATGCACATACACCAAACCAAAAATCAACTTTATCTTTAAAGACAACTGAATACTAGTTTCATAGTCGCATGAATTTAACACTTCACTGAAAATGTGCAGGTCATGGGTTCGAGTCCCGGCATGGCACTAGTGTCCTTTGGCAAGTCATTAACCTACATTTACAACTCTCTGCTCAGGTGGTACCCTGTAGGGTGTGGTTGGATTGGCATTTGTGCACTTGTAAAATGGCCCTTGGCCAGAGTACTACCCAGGGAGCAGAGTATGTGTACTCTCATGCACAGGTGAGCAATGGAATCCAATGATAAGTAATAATAATAATAATAATAATATTCAGCTTTTATATAGCGCTTAATACATCTATGATGTCTCTATTATATTACCCCCGTCATTGGATTCAATAATTGCCCGCACACACTGTGTGCACAATATAATGCACTTTTTAATATAAAGACAGTATTAAACATTGTACAAGCGCAACAACTACTATTATTATTATTACTACCATTGCTTTTATGATTATTATCGTTAACATCATTAATATTATCATTATCAATATTATTATCATCATTATCATTATTATAACTTTAGCATGACTTTGAGCATTATTGTTTTTAACTATCATTACTAAAATTACCATTATTATTATTATCATTAATACAATTATTTCAATATTATTATCATTCATATATTACTTATTTAACTTATATATTATCCTTATTATTATAAGCTTACATTCGGTGGTGAGGGTGGGAGAGGTGAGAGACAGGCCACGGAGGTGAAATCCATCTTAGGAAAAGGTCTCCTACTTGGAGGAGCACTTGAAGGCTGAGACTGGACACCAGACTGATGAGGACGATACGTTGGCACGGTAACGGGTTTGACCGCATCTCTCGGGGTCCTCTCCTTCGTCACCATGGTAACTCTGCCACCTCCATCCTCATCTGACAGGAGAAATAAAAGGAGAGGATTTTTCATCAACAGATCATCTGCTACATGCTATTACAATTGCTACTACTACTACAACTACTACTACTACTACTTCTACCACTGGGCAATTCCACGGTAACGGAAGGACACTCAGACAAGATTTTTGAACTTCAGGTTCATACTAAAAGAACTGTTTTATTAGTATAAGATGTGAAACAGTACAGATATAATACCTATATAAGTGCCTTTAATTCTCCCCCAAAAAATTGTCATTATAGTTAAGTAGTTTAAGAATGTGCATATTAATTATCTCGGTAACGGAAGGACATAAAAATGGACATGGTTTTTCCAGTTAATTAGTGTTTATCCAAACTTTGTGAAGTTGATGAAGCTTTCCACTTGACTGAAACACATTTTGTTCCCCATAGTTTAATACATACTAATAAAACATTTCTTTTAGTATGAACCTGAAGTTCAAAAATCTTGTCTGAGTGTCCTTCCGTTACCGTGGAATTGCCCCACTACCACTACCACTACCACTACTACTACTACTACTACTACTACTACTACTACTACTACTACTACTACTACTATTACTTCTAGAAGTAAAAATACTACTAGTAATAATTATGTGATGATAATGATAATACATATAATAAAAACAATGATAATAAGATACGTCACAGAGTTGCCAATTTCTGTTTGGTTGACTGCACCTTTAAAAGTTCATAAGTTTGTTTTCACTATTTTCCATCATTTTTTGCTCAAACTTTCACTAACCCTTTTCTCTCCTTTTTCTGCTTCTATTAAAACCAACTTAATATCAGGGTGGACTTCCCCATTAAATACACATATTTTGCCCACTCTTGAAGACAACGTTCAATATATTTCATAACGTATTGCTTCTTCCGCGATATCTTCACATTTTCCACTTAATCATAACCGACGACAACAACAATTTCATCTCCTTCTTTTTTTACATCTCTACTATGCTTGTAGTACCGGTAATACAAACTGGGTATGTAAGCAAGTTGTACAAATGCCAATGGAAAAGTGTTGTAACACTGTATGCCATAGTTGTTCTCCTTAGTTGAAATAAATAATAAATGACCTGGACAACAGGCAAACAAACTTGTAGGGATGTACCCGATATACATATACATATGAATAGTAATATTGGCTGAATCTGCTTTGGGGAAATATTGAAAATATTGGCCTTAATCGAAGAATCATATTGCCCTAGTTTGTGACTTGGGGCAATACATTTATGATTCTATTGAAGGCAATTTTTTCTGATACCCCCCCCCCCTGTGGCCATCTAATATTTCATGAATATTACTCAAAATGAGTGCCTAGAATGAATCTTGATTGAACCTTGCAGGGAAAAAAATATTTAAAAAATTTCGGGGCTACTTTCAACCTTGCTTGCATGAAAATAACACTCTTTAATTTGTTATGTATTGAACTCTATGCAATTTTTTTTTGGCTCTTTTTGTGGGCTCTTTTGGGCATTTCGGGGGCTAATTCACTACAAGCCCCAGTGTATATTTCCCCCTGGTACCTTGGTCGCTTGAATCCGTCTCCTCCATGTACTCCTCTTCTTCTTCTGCCTCTTTGTCGGATGAGCCGAATCCTTTCATCCTTGGGGCCCTGACGCCGTGACGGGTCAGGAGATTGCACAGTTCTTTCATCTTTGTCTGGTCAATAGAATCACAAAGATAAAATGATAATAAATAAGGATAACAAGGAGGATGGTAATGAGGATGATGATGATGATGATGATGATAGGGACTTTTAGATTTATACGACGAGAACGTAGACCGCCACGTGTGACATCCTTTTAAGGTAATGTGACGTCCTTTTAAGGCACTGCCGGGCACGGGGACTTGATCGGCAGTTTTCATGTGCAGAAGGCCATAATTCGCTGACACCAGACTTTGTGGAAATACCAAGTACAAATCTGCACACAGCAAACCCGTTGGCCAGTCTAGAATTACCCCCTGATCGCTCGGACAGCTTCGGGTGTGAGAAAAGCGAAGCATTACAGGTCTAATGGTCATAAAACTGAAGGCTAACCCTGGTGATTGACAACACTTGTTATTGGGTAAACATCCGAACGGTGTCGAATTCCCCATGAGAGCTGACTTCTATGTGACTTTAACACAATGTCACACACGGCAGTCTACGCTCTCGTCGTGTAAATCTAAAAGTCCCTAGTGATGACGACGACGATCTTTGTACGTTCAATAGAATCACAAAGATGAAATGATATCAAAAAATTATAACAATGATGGTAATGATGGTGATTTATAAAGACACTTCAGGAGAATGCATAATTCTTTTATCTTTGTCTGGTCAATAGAATAGAAAAATTTACACAATCAGAAAGGCATTAATCTATATGAAAACTACATGGGATTTTTAGATTTTTTTTTTTAAAGTCAAGTGAAGTAAAATTTCTCAGAATGCAGGGAGTTTGTTCCACAGGCACGTAGCAGCGGATCAAATGGATTTGAAGCGAATCTGTTTTGGGTGATTTGGAAGGAGCTGATGTAGATATTGTCTTTGTCCCTCTCTGATTTTTGTTTGAAGGGTTGCAACTGATCGGAGTAACATACCTTAGCTCTTTCAAACTTCATGTTCACAGCGGCTTTGGACTTCCGGACTTGACTCATCTCTTTTCTCAACTTGCTGGTATCCTCTGTAAGTACAAGCAAGAGGTTAGAGGCTAGAGGTTAGAGGTTAGAGGTTAGAAGTTAGTGGTTAGAGGTTAGTGATCATAATGTGTATACCTGAAGCTAAAAACCTCAAGAAAAACTTTCACCTGGCATCATATAAGTTAATGATTAACGAGTATGAAGTGAATGTAGGATAAAGTAAAATGGCGCGTAATGAACGCAAGTTCAACTTGGGTTCCATGCGCCTTTTTCTACACAAGGAAGTATGCAAACATTAACTAGTCTGCTCAACAAGCCGTCTTACTGTTTACTAAAAGTATTAGTTAAACTATGATATCTAGTTGTAGAAGTAATATTCAAACTTTTTGAAGCTCACATTTGGAATACAGTATAGCACACGTGCAGTATAGTGACATGGAACCCCTTACCTCACGGGCAAACCGGTTTAAACCAGACTAAATGTAAGTGAATAGGTGAACAGGTGGGTTAAAGTGTACCAATCGCTAAAAAAAAAAAGATTATTTTTTCTGCATGTAAGTGCTTCCTTGATGCAATACTACACCCAAAATAAGAGGTTTACAGATATCAATTCTACAAAGAGAAACTTGTTGAGTAGACTACAGTCAAAGAAGCTTTGGCGACCACCCGCATAGAAAGACCACATATTTGATTTCCCTTGAATATGGTTTCTCTTTGAAACCTGTTCTAAAGGAACCTAGTACATTAAAGACCACCTGTCTATAAAGACCACATTTCATGTTTTCCTTGAGCGGTCTTTATATACAGGTTTTACTGTAGTTGATGCACCTGTACATGCTCGCATAGAATATTAGAGAACCATCTTCACTATTTTTGATTATTACTTTATATCATGCATGTATTTGCAGGGTGTTTTTATTTGTAAAACATTGTAAAACTCAGCTTAATGGCTACAACACAGATTTTTACTAAATATTACTACCGGTATTATGAACGTTACAATTGCCAATTATTCTAAAATAAGATCGCATTTAGTCTCAGGTCATGTGGCAGAGAGAAGAAAAAAAAGGGAAAACAGGAAGAAAAAAGAAAGAAAGAAAGAAAAAAAAAAAAAAAAAAAAAAAAAAAAAAAAAAAAAAAATCATTTTTAAGGCATACACTCACCCTTTGCCTTTTCCAATGAGGTGGATGCTTTCTTGGAGCTGACCAAAAAACAAAAAAAAGAGAAAATCATCAAAATTCATTTTTATTCAATAATATGATATCATACTAATTACAAGCATGTTTTAAAAACCGAATACTTGGTGAATAGCCTTGGGGAAAAAGCACACTTGACATTAAAAAATACAATAGCAACAAGCTAATATTCAGTTCAAAGAGTAGAAAGCACATGAGAAATGCAGTAGTAAACTGTGTTTAAATGATGTAATGCGTAATACGCCCTACATTTCATTTCCTTATAACACAGAGCTAAGTTAATATGTGAAGAAGTTTTGTAGCGCACAGCTGTGATTCGTTTACCTACACATAAAAAAGGAGTTGACTTTACCAAATAGAGGGATGAGTGGAAAATAGGCTTGTTTGTCATGAAACTCAAAGCCAATCTCGGTGATTGGCAAACACATGTTATTGGTAAACACCCAAATGGTGTCAGATTTCCCATGAGCGCCCATTACTACCGGGTATGCATCTTAAAGGTTTTGTAAAAAATGACCTTCATCCGCCAATGAGCATCCAACCTGGGGGTATGGACGGGTTCTAAAGGGGTACATGACCAATGGGAGGTTTTGGGGGAGGGGTGTGAAGGGGTGGGGGAGGGGAGGGAGGGGGAGCTTGGGGTAGTCCCCAGGATTCTCACCTCTGTTTCATGGCATCCGTCTGAGACTTCAGCATGAGGATGTCCGACTCTAAGGTAGCTTTCTCTTCATCGCACACCTCGAGCTTACTCTCGTACTGTCGGATCAGAGACTGGGAGGAGAAAATGGAAATCAAATTTGTTACAGTCAAAGATACATGTTGGTTGGTTGGTTTGTTCTTTGACCCGACTGCTAAGAAAGCATGACCTGCTCAACCACTGAGCCATTGCGCTTTATTGCTTGACTGTACATTTTTTTTGTTTAAAATTGCGTATGACAGGACATTGTCATTTATAAGAATTACCACAATAATTAACACAGGCTACTTTCAATACGTAAGAGACTGGAGAAAACGGTTTTCAATGTCACTGAAGTCAAAGATAATACTGCATCATCATATGTAATTGCATGAAAGGTTATGCGTCAACCAGAAAATGAAAATTTAGTGTATCTCACGCTTTAAGTCATTCATGGTTTGGGTTGCATGAACACGTACAAAAGTGAAAGCGCATTTAAGATTCGCAAACAAATAAAAACATGTGCAAAAATAAAACAATATCTGAAGGATTGTGAAGAAGTATCCAGATGACTGTGCCATTCCTGGTTTGGGGTGCACGAACATGTAAAAATGTGAAAACACGTATAAAATTCGCAAAAAATAAAGATCTGTGCAAAAATAATGGCTTATGTACGTGGTACCCTCTACTTGCAATTTCAGCACCAAAATAATGTGAATGAACCATGTTGTTCGGGTCCCATTTCAAACAGGACTTGGTCTATAGTTGGGTAAGGCTTTACCGCTAATTTCAGAGATTATTTATGTGGCATATAAAGAGTTGATTTCTTTCTCCTTACCTCTTGAGCGCTGAGTTTATTGTGAAGAACCTCAAATTGTTTCTTGCTCTCCTGAGACTCCTGAAGGAATCGTTCTTTATCCTGTAACAAAGGTGACGATAGCAAATTAGACATTTTCTTCGTTATTAGATAGCTCTTACAGATACAAAGTTGTGATTGGTTCAAAGCTCTTCTCGTGATATCGATTGAGAGGAGCGTAATTCACATATTTCACTCCTATTCATTTTTCGATGTTATATTGACTGCCCAGGGGGGTGTTTCACAAAGACTAAGATTGACTCTAAGTTGGATTAACTATGCCAGGCCGTTCATGCCACTAGTTGCTCTCACCATTTACTGGCAATGGTCTCTCAAGGGACGTACAAATCATGGTCACACATCTACAGAATTGAGCTTTTTTGACAATTTATTGTTGAAGGAAAGAATATTATCTAAAGATCATAATTAAGAGACCAATGGTGAGAGCAACCAGTGGCATGAATGGCCGGTCATAGTTAAGTCCAACTTAAAGTCGATCTTCGTCTTTGTGAAACACTCCCCAGGTCAAATGAGTCTATTTTTGCTTCATACCGTATCCAATTAACCCTGCGTGCACTGGCGCATACCCATTGTTTGCATTGTCTTAGCAATGCGCATAAGACGTGGAAGGCTGCATGGCTTGAGAAACAAACAAGGCACCAGATCGCAATTATCCTTGATTTTATGAAACAAGGTGTAATCATGGTAATAAAGGCTATTTAATTCAACAGATATTATATTGGAATTGTGCAGTTACATAAGACGTACTTATCGAGCAAAAATTGTTCTTTATCTATAGCTGTACTGAAATGAAGCAAAATCTAATGTATTTCTTGTGTATTTCAAATAATGATATCCATTGTCATATATTATTGATTAATGAAATGATTCTATGATCTACTCTGGTTCCTGTTTTGGGGTCTCCTCCAAAGCCTGTATACCAGTATTTTATTTCTTCTCCCTTCCTTTTGCGCATGTCATTGCCCAAAGACGGCCGAGCGAACTCCAATATAACCCGGCCTTTTATTAAGGGTTAAAATGTACATATATTGGGAGAAATCCAAGCTATCGTGTCCCAAATTGTTCCAGAAATATTAATATTTTTAGCATGTTCCATGACTTTCCATGACCCATGACCAGGGGGGTGTTTCACAAAGATCCTAAGTTGAAATTATCTCTAAGTTGGACTTAACAATTATGGAAAGCAGTTAACATCTATAAAAATATTTTGTACAAATTATTTTAAAAGGCATAAAATGTTGATTCAAATCATTCATATTTTCCATTACCAAGGAGTTTTCATGTTCTTGATGTGGAATTATTAAAAAATCTAAAATACTTCAATTTTTGCTTTTAAATATATATTTCTAAAATGCTACTAATGGCTCTCCATATTTTTTAAGTCCAACTTAGAGTTAAGTTCGACTTAGGATCTTTGTGAAACACCTCCCTGATATTAAAGTACATTTTGGTATGGACTAGCCATTCACGCACAAATTAGAAACTTCTGACCAAACTGCAATACTGACCTTTTTCCATGGAATAATGTCTTTCAAGGTTGTGGCGAGCTGCTCCTCCAACACTTTACAATCCCTGTCAGGATAAAAAACAAAACAAGATACCGGTAAATGTGACTGCGTCTCCTACAAAAATGTATACGCCTCCGCCCGAGATTTATTATGGGAAATGGATGGAATTATTCCTGACATTTCATTCCATTTATTTTCATATTTCTCATGTATACATTTCAAAATAAAGTACAAGTTGTTTTTTGTGTGATAAAATAACAATCAATAATACATAATAAATAACATAAAGATAAGTGGTCAATATAGAGTACTGATTTAACTGAGAGGAATATGATGGGACCTACATGTACATGTACATGAAAGCACGCTTGTAAAGCTGTAGACATATGACGATGAAAAGAAAAAGCCCATCATCAAATTTCAACGAACGACTATGATTTTAACCTTCTAGCCCCAAAATGTAATTGGATCATCTTCCTATAGTAATAATGTCACCATGTTTAGATATTGCGATAGCAAGACTAAAATCCTTCAATTTCATAAATTGACCTCTGTGACCTTTGACCTACATACCTTAATTCACCTTTAGTGGGCGGAGACAAATAGACCTGTTTATTAACTACACTCAAACCTGCTTTAGTGACCTCCTGTACGGAAAGGCCACCTGTCTATAAAGACCTCATTTTTTTCTTCCTGAAAAGTGTTTCCCATTTAAACAAAGAGACCTTTATATAAAGACCACCAGGGGGGTGTTTCACAAAACTTGTCATCAGTGACAATTGACAGTTTTTGTTATAAGCTACTGAAATCCTTGCTTCTGATTGGGTATCAACAGATTTGTCACAGATTTTTGTCATTCGTCATTGAAAAAAGGCTTTGTGAAACGGGTCCCAGGTCATAAGGGCCCCATTTCTTGTCCCCATTAGTGGTCTTTATATACAGGTTTCACTGTACTTGATTCACCTGCTGTGCACAAAGGCATAGGCATGAATTGAATGCACTTTGCATAAATTGATTGTAGCTATATCTGACACTCCTCAGGCAAGCTTTCAAGCTGTCAAGAAAAACCTAAGCTCAAGAAGTAACTTGACTCACCTGCCATGCACAAAATCAAACACACCTAGGATACATTGTCTGCTGCTATATCCGGTGAGCCTTAGGCAAGCTTTCAAGCAGTCACAGGGAACTTCAGTTCAAGAAGTATTCATGACATTAGTAAACAGGTCTTTTTTATAAATCGTCACTACTGTAAAGATTTGGACTAAACCGCTCGCATGAATAATTACAGGTATATGTACTGTACATTCAAACGTACATATCAGCACCCAATTCTGGGACCTGGTCATTGGTATTCTTATCAGCAGAATACAGTCCACATGTACTTCCTCTTTCGTTGCTCTGAACTGATAGTCAATACAAGTACAATTATCAATAAAGCTCCAAACAAAGAGAAATATCATAAATAAATATTTATTTAGATTGCAGCAATTGAGCCAGGGACCTCGGTATTGCATGTTCATTCAGTATCAATTACTGTAATACAACCCACTTCCCCTTTTGTTTTCATAGAAACATAAACTTCCCAGTGACAAATTTTTCTCATTCAAATTACAACTGAAAACTTATTTGTTTCTTTCGTTGTAAATATTGTAATATTTTAATTTACCATGTCTAGGAGAATTTCGATTTTTTTTTCCCTTTCTTATGTCTGTTACATGTCCTTTTTTTTAAGCGCCATGAGCACCGAAAGGTGGACCTGTGCGCTATACAAGTAGCCACTATTATTATTATTATTATACCACATAAGGACGTTCCACAGTAGTATTTGTGCACAGGGCCAGCTGATCATGTATTTACTTTGAACGATACCAGGAACTGCAAGCCTTATGCATGGAAAAATACATAAGTGCGCAGCTAAGGTGCGCACGGACATTACTGCGGGCCGCCCTTAAGCCAAACCAAAGACTGTTCACATTATGACATGGTAAAATTACAGCCTCAAACTTCCCTTGGGGAGCATTTCACCCAATCGTCCTTTTTTACAGGCATACATGCCCCCAGAATGCAAGGAATAATTCTTAGTATTATTTTTTAACTGTTCTGTATAAACGTTATGCTTTTTGATGTAAATATGTTCATGTTTATTCAGGGCCTAACTCAGACACTGCACATGCAAAGCAAACCCCCTTATTGTAAAAATGCAATGTAAATCATGGAGCCTTGGTACACCCGCCTGTACATGAATTGTTTTCATTAGATTGAGGAGGAAGAGGAGGAGGAGAACAACAACATAGACAAGGAAGAAGAAGAAGAAGAAGAAGGAGAAGGAGAAGAAGAAGAAGGAGAAGGAGAAGGAGAAGGAGAAGAAGAAGAAGGAGAAGGAGAACGAGAAGAAGAAGAAGGAGAAGGAGAAGGAGAAGGAGAAGAAGAAGAAGACGAAGAAGAAGAAGAAGAAAAAGACGAAGAAGGAGAAGAAGAAGAAGAGGAAGAAGAAGAAGAAGAAGAAGAAGAAGAAGAAGAAGAAGAAGAAGAAGAAGAAGTGGAAGAAGTGGAAGAAGAAGAAGTGGAAGTGGAAGAAGAAGAAGAAGAAGAAGAAGAAGAAGAAGAAGAAGAAGAAGAAGAAGAAGAAGTGGAAGAAGTGGAAGAAGAAGAAGTGGAAGTGGAAGAAGAAGAAGAAGAAGAAGAAGAAGTGGAAGAAGTGGAAGAAGAAGAAGTGGAAGTGGAAGAAGAAGAAGAAGAAGAAGAAGAAGAAGAAGAAGAAGTGGAAGAAGTGGAAGAAGAAGAAGTGGAAGTGGAAGAAGAAGAAGAAGAAGAAGAAGAAGAAGAAGAAGAAGAAGTGGAAGAAGTGGAAGAAGAAGAAGTGGAAGTGGAAGAAGAAGAAGAAGAAGAAGAAGAAGAAGAAGAAGAAGAAGAAGTGGAAGAAGAAGAAGAAGAAGAAGAAGAAGAAGAAGAAGAAGAAGAAGAAGTGGAAGTGGAAGAAGAAGAAGAAGAAGAAGAAGAAGAAGAAGAAGAAGAAGAGAAAGAAGAAGAAGAAGTAGAAGAAGAAGTATAAAAAGATCAAGAAAAAAGAGAAGAAGAAAAAGAAGAAATGTGATCTATGTCATATGTGACAAGCCTTAATCTTAGTCAAATCAAAGAAAAAAAGTATGTTACCTCTTGGATTGAGCTAATCTCGCAGTCAGATTTTGAATGCTCTTCTGTTGCTCTTCGAATGGTGCAGTGGAGTTAAAGAAAATGATACAGGATAGATACACAGTACATGTAGCCCTGTTAACAAAACTTCTCTTCAACAACAACAATGAAATAATAATAATAATAATAATAATAATAATAATAAGTAATAACAATAACCATTATTATTATGATTATTATCAAATGTTTGTATTACTATACATACTATTGTTATCATCATACTCATAATTATAAACATACTTTTAATGATACTACTGGTGCTACTACTTATATTACTACTACTACTACTACTACTACTACTACTACTACTACTACCACTATTACTTCTACTTCTAATAATAATAACTGTTTTTTGTAGAGTGCTTCTCAGTTTAAAGAAAATATTGCTATTAAATTCAGTATATCAAGTCAGTAATTCTATTTTTCTCGAAACTATGAGGTCTTATACAAATAACAGATATCATTATTATTAGTAGTAGTCGTTATAATATTGGTACATCTGACTGACATGAGCGCTATACAAGAACCCATTATTATCCTTTATTATTATTATTATTTACATGTATGTTGTGGCATTGATTCAAGAGCATTTTATGCAGTTGAACTTGACTTTTTAAGCTTTAAACAGGAAATATGATCTCTAAATTATTCTTCAGATTCAAAATTGATGTCTAGTGATTTTTGCAGATATCACTTAGAAAGGGTACAATGCAATACGCAAAACATATGATTGTGATCTGTAAGCTTCCTGGTTTCTAGTGATACATTATTGGCCATATTTGGGATTTTCTTTTAATGTCTACTTTAAAACAATAAGAAAAAGTCTCCATTTGCAGAACGAGAAAGATCAACTTTATCATTATTCTCAAAAATACCGGTATCTAAGCAAATTATTTAAATATTATTCAAAGGATATCTTGACATTTGCTCTGGTGTTTCTGGATAAGTGTGCTGTAAAGAAAAAAAAGAAGAAGAGAGATTGAAAAACAAAAATTATCATCTGACAATTACTATAAAATCAGAAATTTTGCAACAAGAAACTTTTGAATCAAGAAACTTTTGCAATTGTTTATGAGCAGCCACTTTCATGGCAATAAACTTTCACGAATAGCAAAGAATCCAGTGTTATGTCAAATATGATCATCAATTTATTTTGCGGGCCTAATACTTGCCGAGCCAGAACCACTTGCCAAGCTTACCAAGACATTGTGCACATTTAAAGGTTCCTACTTTTAATACAGTACATAAATAGTACTTTAACTGAACAGTAAAAAATACATGATAATGGACATCTCTCTATTAAAGTATAAAGACCAACTGTTTACAGTGGCCACGTTTAGTGATTCCCTCTAGGAAGATGTATGTACTTGGATGTGCTGTGACACCTGTAAAAAAAAAATAGGCCACAAGTCTACAGAAGCCATTTTTCCTATCCTTTGGGGGGCCTTTGTAGAAAGCTTTGACTGTATGAAAAATTCAAGGTGATCCACAAACAAAATTTCAGACATGTAAAATTGGAACTTGGAAGGAGTATGACCTGATTCGAGCAGAGCACAGAGTCCCTTGTGGCCAGGTTCCAAGGCTTGCTCTCTTTTAAAAGCTGTAGGGTTCTAATTCATGTACTGTATGCTCTCTGGTGCAATCTTAGCCATATGTTGGAGAATTTTCAAAGACATTTTATGACTGATATTTCATAAATCAAATAAAATGTTGGTAGGTAAAGAATTTTAATCAATCTCTTAATTTACAAACATGTAATATCAAAATGTAAACCTGCTGCTGTTACACGTTCAAACCCCTTGCGCACTTCCCAAATCATAATAGTGGGAGACATTACACATCACTAAAACATAAACAGGTCTTACAGAGATAATGTGGCAACACTACAGCGCATCCCAGAAAAACAAATCAAACCAAAAAAAGGAATTTCAATTATGACCCAATTCTATGCTTTATGACTATAATGACCTATTTTTCATAGAGTAGAATAAGAATACTAACTACTACTACCACCACCAACAACAACAATAATAATTGTAATAATAATTATAATAACAACAACAACAGGGGGTCTTTCACAAAGATCCCAAGTCAAATTTAACTCTAAGTTGGACTTAAATATTATGGAGAGCCATTTGTAGCCTTAAAATACAACACATTCAACAGTGAAAATTGAAGTATTTTAGACTTTTTATAAATTCTACATCAAGAACATGAAACATCCTTGATAATAGAAAAATATGAATGATTTGAATCAACATTTTTTATGCCTTTTAAAATATCTTTTAAGTCCAACTTAGAGATTAGTTCAACTATAGATCTTTGTGACACACCCCCCAACAATAAATTTTTTATGCCTTTTAAAATATCTTTTAAGTCCAACTTAGAGATTAGTTCAACTATAGATCTTTGTGACACACCCCCCAACAATAAAAAAAAAAAAAAATGTATTTCTATAGTCTAAATGTACACTCACTCTGTCAATATCATCTTTCTCTTGATATCTACAAAGAATGCTCTGTCCCTTTTGCAGTCTTCAAGCTCCTGTAAAAATGAATAAAAAATGTAAGGTCTTAGTCCTGTCTCTCTTTTTATTTATCTTATTTTGTACCGAAAGACATCTAAGAATTTATAAATATTGATGAAACTAGAGGCTGCTTTGGTAACGGGCGAATCAGAATTTGCAAGTAAGAGGATACCATAACTCATATCCAATTGCAGAAAAGACCCTGGTTTTATTTACAGTTAAGAAAATAATGAAAATAAGATATTTCATGACAGTTTAAAAAAATTAAATCAAATAATAAATGTGATATGGTTTGTATCAAGGTGCTTGAAAATGGAAAAATATCTACAGAAATACCTACCGACATGCGAAGACTGTCGTTATTCTAATGGGTCTGTAATTACAGACTTTCCATCTTTGACGACTTTTTTATGATAGAACGATGTATGTTCAAATAATATTTATCTCAACTACTTGTTAAGGCATCAAAACTTTATGAGAATAGTTTTTTTGCTTGAATAATGCTTTTATATAAATACCAAAATGTGATTATGACAGGTTTGGAGTCGTGACAAGTCTCTTGTCGGGAAAGTTTTTCATGGACTTGGCAAAGACGGTTTTGTGAAACACTTAATGGACAAGTCGAGCGACAGCGTAGAGATGTCGTTGATCTTGTACTTACATGTATGATGGTTATGACCTCCTATCTTAAAGACCATCCGTACTAGTGTACAGGAGGGATTGGACCACCCTGCAAGGTCACTAGACAGTTGGTTATCTCTACACATCAGCTCTTAATTAACATAAGAAAAAGGGGACCATGGGGGACTAATGGTCACCCATTAGGCATTATTTGCTATATAGAGGGCGCAAGTAGCTATAAGTAGTTCAGTGGGGCTTTAAAAGACCACAAATCTCCCTTGAGCAGAGATTCCCATTAAAACCTGTATTAAAGGAACCTGTACATATAGACCACCTGCTCATAAAGACAGCTTTTATTGACTCCCTTGAACGGTCCTTACTCACAGGTTTTCACAGTATCACTATTCATAAAATACCCCTTTGATGTAATATCGTCGGTGGGGTGACAAAACCTCGAATCTCAATTTTTTGAGATTTTGAGATTTTGATTTTTTTGCATAATTGTGTACCGAATGGCCTACGACACCACCTGATAAATCCATGGAACGCCTCCTGTCTCGGTTTTTTTCACAAACTCCACACAAAGGACGGTGTCACAGCACTAAATCTGTTGAGACATGAAATGTTTTTTCGCTCTCCTGAAAATTCATGATTTTTGAGATACGAGGTTTTGTCACCCCACCGACGGTATGTCAAAGCTTGGTCATACCTTCTGTAAGACTGTGCAGTTGTGGCATCCAGGCAACTCTACTTCTGTCTGTACTCCTTCTGCAGAGAGGACAACATCCATCATGTCCGGTTCTGGAACTGGCTCATGGTGACGAGGTTCGGAGGCACCTACACCTCCGGACGATGTATCCATCTATCGCACACAACGTGACCTGAAAAGGAGTCAGTTTAAGCATTTGATTCCATTTGTCTTGATTCGAAGCACTCACACAAGCACAAGGTCTATCAATTATTAACCAACAGCAGCACAGTGTCTCTTTTTAGTCGGGTGATTTGTCCGCGTTTATGAAGATATCGTCGTTTATGCGGACGATCCTTATTCTCGGACCAGCATCCCGGCTGCGACATTGTTAAACCTAACCTAGCCATCCTGCACTGCATATTAATATTTGAATATATTAATATTTGCGTTGGTACTGTGTGGTGGAGATCAAAATTAAATCGACCAACTTCTGAACTTAACCAGTATGCCACAATGATTTTGGACAACTTATGACCTGGCTAGTCATTCGTTTACGGTAAGCCACCCGATTTTCTCGCAATGTCATTCAATTTAAGTAAATCATTATTTGATAAATTATTGCATCGGATTCTGTGTGCGTGCGTGTCGTGAATATTTATGACTAGCACATGACGTATGGTTCCTATTGAGCCAATCAAATGCAACGATAGGATGGCAAGGTTAGGTTTAAAAAAGACGCACCCCAGCCCTACTGCTAGCTGCTAAGCCTTTAGACCTAATCGTTTATAGATCTAGATTATAATTGAAAGATTTATGAAATATTGCATGCAGGCTAGCGCGCCCGGTATTCGGTCACTTAAGTTAAGGGGAAATCGCAAATAGATCTATTTTGAATTCTTACCTCCTTTATTTGGCAATCTACCCATCAAAAGAGAAGAAAATTGGTCCTCTAACAGAATTTTAAAGTCACTTAAAATATAAAATGATGATAAGCAAAATATTCCTGAAAGAAGAAGGAGCAAGTCGGCGTCAGAGTTACAGGAAGTGCAGAAACTTGTGCGACACTAACTGATTTCGAGGTAAGTTGGAGATCTTTCCGGGGTACCTAATTACCTGATTTAATTTTGAAAGTTAGGATAAGTTACTCAGCTGCCTGATTTGTGCAAGTTTCATGGCTCATAAAATATTTTTTATTTTGTTACAGCTGTTGAAACGGCTGACTGACCGAATACCAGGTGCGCTTTGCCTTTGTCATGTTTGTAATTGTAAACTTCTTCAAGTTCAAATTACTGTTTTAAATAATAACCATCCTGATACACAACCTTTCAGTAAACACTTCTGGGTAGATATAGAATCTAGAAAAATAGTATAGATAGCAGATCTACTACTACACAAGGCATAACAATGATATTGATAACACTTGACATCGGACTGTCACTAGAGTAGAAGTAGAGACTCTTCGAATTAAACAACACGGTTTTAAACGTATGGGGCATGAGAACAAAAATGTATGGGAAAAGACGTTCATTCTTTATAATTATTGAAGGTTTTAGGAGTTAAATACGTAATGACAGTTGGATGCTGATAAAATGATGACATTTCTGTACGGATATAATAAATATGACTTACTGATAAATGGAAAACACGGGTGAAAAAGCAGAAATTTTCTTGCATTGACCTCCAAAACAATATTTTGACTTTAGTGAAATGTCAACACGTACGTACGTTCACGCACGCACGCGCTTAGCCTGCATAGGATAGACGTACGCATTGAATTTATAACGTCATACTTTTCACAACGGCTCTGGAGTGCTAGGGACTGCTAAAATTAATCCCAAATAGGATAAAATTGCTCTTAGGCTCGATATCACTCCTATAGAGCAATATCGCTTTTAAATTAATGGTATCGAATTAAAAATAAACCTCGTTTAATTTTTTTTGTGGGATAGGGGGGTAACTGCCCCCCCCCCCCTCCCCATAAGCACGCCAGTGATACAAGTGTTGTTTTTTGTGTTTTTTTAAAAATGTTTTTTTAAAGGATATCTTCATAAATGAGCATCATGCATGTGATGCAGGCGCGGATCCCGGATTTCTTAGGGGGGGGGGGGGGGGGGGGGGGGGGGGGGGGGAGGCCCAAATTTGACATTATGCGAGCCAAATATTGGTACGTAATGGTGACCAGCAGTGATATGGGGGAGGGGGGGGGGTGCAGGGATGGGCGAGTTTTTCCACCTCCTCCTCCGAGAAGCGCAGAAACTTTGACATTTCAATACATTATTAACTGGAAAGAAGGCGATTCGTTGTACCGTTCCAAAAAATAATCCTCGTCTGAATTATGTTCCCCCCCCCCACCCGCGCGAAGCGAGGAAGCTTTTACGTTTCATTAAATCATTAGAGAAAGAAGACGATTCGTTGTGTCGTTATCGACTCTTAATCTTCGTCTAACTTCAGTTTCCCCCCCTCCCACGCGAAGCGCGGAAGCTTAGACGTTTCATTAAATTATTAGAGAAAGAAGACGATTCGTTGTACCGCTCACGAAAATAATCCTCGTCTGAATTTATTTTCCCCCTCCCGCGCGAAGCGCGGAAGCTTTTACGTTTTATTATAACATTAAAGAATGAAGACGATTCGTATTACCGTTATGACTTTTAATCCTCGTCTAAATTCAGTTCCCTCTTCCCGCGCGAAGCTTTTACGTTTCATTAAATCATTAGAGAAAGAAGACGATTCGTTGTACCACTCTCGAAAATAATCCTCGTTTGAATTTAGTTTCCCCCCATCCGCGCGAAGCGCGGAAACTTATACGTTTCATTAAATCATCAGAGAAAGAAGACGATTCGTTGTACCGTTCTCGACTCTTAATCCTTGTCTAAATTCAGTTCCCTCCCCTCCCGCGCGAAGCGCGGAAGCTTCGACGTTTCATTAAATTATTAGAGAAAGAAGACGATTCGTTGTACCGCTCTCCAAAATAATCCTCGTCTGAATTTATTTTCCCCCTCCCCTCCCACGCGAAGCGCGGAAGCTTTTAGGTTTCATTAAATCATCAGAGAAAGAAGACGATTCGTTGTGTCGTTATCGACTCTTAATCTTCGTCTAACTTCAGTTTCCCCCCCTCCCACGCGAAGCGCGGAAGCTTAGACGTTTCATTAAATTATTAGAGAAAGAAGACGATTCGTTGTACCGCTCACGAAAATAATCCTCGTCTGAATTTATTTTCCCCCTCCCGCGCGAAGCGCGGAAGCTTTTACGTTTTATTATAACATTAAAGAATGAAGACGATTCGTATTACCGTTATGACTTTTAATCCTCGTCTAAATTCAGTTCCCTCTTCCCGCGCGAAGCTTTTACGTTTCATTAAATCATTAGAGAAAGAAGACGATTCGTTGTACCACTCTCGAAAATAATCCTCGTTTGAATTTAGTTTCCCCCCATCCGCGCGAAGCGCGGAAACTTATACGTTTCATTAAATCATCAGAGAAAGAAGACGATTCGTTGTACCGTTCTCGACTCTTAATCCTTGTCTAAATTCAGTTCCCTCCCCTCCCGCGCGAAGCGCGGAAGCTTCGACGTTTCATTAAATTATTAGAGAAAGAAGACGATTCGTTGTACCGCTCTCCAAAATAATCCTCGTCTGAATTTATTTTCCCCCTCCCCTCCCACGCGAAGCGCGGAAGCTTTTAGGTTTCATTAAATCATCAGAGAAAGAAGACGATTCGTTGGACCGTTCTCGACTCTTAATCCTTGTCTAAATTCAGTTCCCTCCTCTCCCGCGCGAAGCGCGGAAGCTTCGACGTTTCGTTAAATTATTAGAGAAAGAAGACGATTCGTTGTACCGTTCTCGACTCTCAATCCTTGTCTGAATTAAGTTCCACCCCCACCTTCCTGCGCGAAGCGCGGAAGCTTTGACGTTTTATTAAATTATTAGAGAAAGAAGATGATTCGTTGTACCGTTCTCGACTATTAATTCTGTCTGAATTTAAAAAATGTTCTTTGTCTACTTCCTTTTCTTCCTACATGTACGTTCTCTTCCTTTTCACTCCTCTCTTTTTCGGGGGACCACCTCACCCCCCCCCCCCTGGCTACGCGCCTGCGGTCAGATGAACATATGTTGATACCTTGTCCGCCCCCGGAAGCTCAGGGGTTTAAGGCAATAATTTAAGGTCAGATTAGCATTATTTTGATACCTAATTGTGACACTGGCAGGACAATATTTGGCGTGGGGTCCAGGGGGCAGAGCCCCCAGAAATCAGGGGGTTTAGGCATGAAATTACCGTCAGATGAGCATCTAAGGGCCCGCCTTAAGGCCCTAGGTGGAATAGGGGCAGAGCCCTCGGGGTTTTAGGCATTTAATCATGGTCAAATGAGCATATTTTCATACCTCCTTATAATGTGACACTGGCAGTTAACTATTTTTTCTTTCTTGCTCTCTTTCTTTCTATTTCTCTTTAATATATTTTTCAAAAAAGTGGGGGGGGGGGGGGGGCCTCGAGGATCCCTATCCCCGCCGTTCCGCGGGCCCTGACATGTAGGCATCTCAAGAAGCATTTTCTTGCCTGGCTGTAAATTTAGGAATTACGGTCATTTTCCAACAAACGCATAAAAAAGTATAATTTACTTATTAAAAGTGAGGAAAAATCTCGGAAAATTATGTCATTTCAGCATTATTTGTAAACCACCGTTATGGAATTAGAAATAAACCACGTTTGAATTTTATTTCCCAAAAGCCCCCCCCCCCCCTCGATCTACACCTTGTTGGCGGGAAAATTGCAACTGATATCCCTTACCTTTCTTCATTCTCATTTTTTCTTCTTTCCCTTTCTCTCCTCTTACCCTTTCCCTTCCCTTCCTTCTCTCTCTCTTTTAGGTTTGCTTGGGGTCATTTTGACCCCCATCCCGTTCCACACATTGTTGGCGGGATTAACCGCAACTGATCTCCCCCTTCTTTTCTCCCTTTTCTTTTCTTCTTCCTCTTTTTTGTTCCCTTTTAGCTCTCCTCTTTTCCCTTTCATTCCTTCTCTCTCTTTTTTAGCGGGGACCGGGGGGGGGGGGGTGAGCAAGGGCCTTTTGACCCTTCCCCCCCCCCCCGATCCACAACTTGTTGGCGGGAAAATTGCAACTGATATCCCCTTCTTTTCTTTTCTTCTTCCTCTTTTTTCCTTCCCTTCATCTCCTCTTTTCCTTTTTTCTTTCCCTTCCTTCTTTTTTATTTTTTGATTGGGGGGGGGGGGGAGGCAACAGCCAGGGATGCAAGTCCTCCCCCCCCCGATCTCCTTCTTCCCTCTTTTTTTTTCTTCTTCCTCTTCTTTTTTCCCTTTCTCTCCTCTTTCCCTTTCCCTTCTTTTCCTTCTCTCTCTCTCCTTTTTTTTTTTTTTTTTTTTGGCGGGGGGAGGGGGGCAAGGCCCGCTCGGCCCCCCTGGATCCGCGCCTGATGTGATGAATATGTTGACGTTTAAATCAACCAATTCGGCACCAAACAATCAGCACTCCATCAAAAGATTTCCATAATTTATATTGCTTGCGGGAAATATGTTCATTATTCATTATTCATATTCATTATTTGCTACATTATTTTTGACTTATTTCTTGTTTATTTCTGGTATGAGATCGGTTGAACTTTTTTAGACCCCTTTTTTCCCCACGATCGATTACATGTATGAGCCCCCCCCCCCCCCAAAAAAAAAAAAAAAACACATCAAACTCTGGCTACGTGCCTGTACATATACTGGCTAGCAATTGCTACACCAGCTCTCCTCAGCTAGCTGCTCAAAGTATCCGGCTGGACCTCTGTGACGAACAGAACTTATCCGTAAGACACGATGGTCATATTTTTGTGTATAGGTACGCATGATATGTTATCTGGGCCAGGCGCGGATCCAGGATTTTTTAGGGAAGGGGGCCCAACTTTTTTTTGTTTTGCTCCCGAAAATTTGAAAATCGCGCCGGCCGAAATGTCGCTCAGTTGGGGGGGGGGGGGGGGGGGGGTGGGGGTAGTGAGCACATTTTTAAATATTTTTTTGGCCCTCGAAAATTTAAAAATTGCATCCCCCCCCCCCCTTGGGGAGAGCCCATCCCCCCAAAAAGGTAAAAATCACGTGTTTTTGCATGATTTTTTTGTCCAGGGGGGGGGGGGGGAGGCCAGGCCCCCCGCCCCCCCCCCCCCCCCCCCCACCCCCCTGGATCCGCCACTGATCTGGGCTATATAATTCAAAGTTCATTTCACGATTATATTTTTAAATAAAGGATAATATATGATGCATAATGTTGTTCTTTTATAATCTTTTTAACACAGTCTTTGTCATGTTTCTTTGTCTGCTCCTTTTTCTCCCTACGTCCTCTTACTTTTTGCTCTTGTCTCTCTCTCTCTCTCTCTCTCTCTCTCTCTTTTTTTTTTTGGGGGGGGGGGGCAGCGACCGCCCCCGCCACCCCCTGGCTACGCACCAGGAAGATGGGCGGTTTACAAATGAGTTAACCGATAGCGTCACACACTCTCTATTCCTTATGTATTTTATTATCTGAAATTTAAAATATTACAATTTGTTGAACCAATAATATAAAACATGATTTGACTCCTCATGGAACATGTCAAATCATCATTACTGCAATTTCACTCAGTTTTCTTCTAATGTTAGAACGGAATCAACAGAGTAGGGGTGCGGCAAGCACAACTACGGAAGCCCAATATATTAGTGCCACCATGTGAATTAAAATTTAAG